AGTCAAAAGATTGACAGAACAGTGGCGTGTGTGGGCATCCGTGTCCTATTTGACACATTTCTAGTTTACATAATTATGCCCCTTTTTCGGCATAGAAATTCTTGGTTAAGTTTTTGCGTGTAAGCTGGTATCTCCATTACTACTGAAAGGAATGGATTGAAACTTCACACACTTGTTTTCTGTGATTATCTATTTACTTTTTTGCATAATTATGCCCTTTTTTCGACTTAGAAATTCTAGGTTAATTTTTGCATGTAAGCTGGTATCTCCATAACTACTGAAGGGTTTTTACCTTTTTGGACAATTTTATGTATTATACTCAATGAAACACCCTTGTGACAACTTTTCGAATAGTCGAGCGTTACTGTCCTCCGACAGTTCTTGTTATTTTTAAAGTTTGTCCGGACTACTTCTCTTATACCACTAATGCAATTTCAATGAAACTTTACAGGATTGATCTGTAGCTCAAGTCCTTGAGCATATTGCACGGGTTTTCCGGTTGAATGATTTTTGGCCGAGTTATGGCCCTTTGACAAAAAGGTGTTTTTTTCTGTGTGTTGCCAGATACACAATTAAAAGCTTGTCCGGACTACTCCTCATAAACTACTGGTGCAATTTTATCCAAACTTTACAGGAATGATAAGTACCAAGTCTAGTTGTGCACTATCCGTCTGTCTGTCCGTCTGTCACAAAACTTGTCCCAACATGAAATTGGTCATCATGAGGCGACACATGTGATCCTGATCGCTCTTATTAAGTAATTATATGTAGAATATTTTTATTAATAAAAAAGAGTTAGAATTCAGAAATAAGAATTGAGAGGAAAAATTGCAATATACCTTGACTCTGTTAGTTATGATTGCTGCATGCAGCCTGATGTGACCGGATAGCCAAATATAAAATACTATAGATAGTTAAAAATATATATCAAAACAAGCCTGTTATAAATGTTTTGAAGGATTAATTAGCAGTAGAAAACAGAGCTGTAAGGATAATCATATCATCATGCATAAAAAATTTGTCTATTTGGTATTAGAAATAATACATTATTTAATACAACGATTCCATCTATAAATATATGGTACATTTTCTTTCAACAAAGACTTGATTTTTGTCCAAAATATATTTACAAATCTCTTAAATAAGTGGGTTAAGTCCATTAAAGGATATTTGTACAAGGTAATGCTGTTTTCCTTCAAAGTATTATTGGTATTTTTGTGTTATATAATACAAGCATTCCTTTAACACACCTTTCCAACTTTACTTAAATATAGTCTTTTATAATCATATAATATGTTTGGGCTTAAAATTTTCAGGGGAAAATTGATATTTTGCAAGTTTTTGTGCAAATAAACAACTTTTCAACAAGTTTTAAGACCTATCCTTTACTTAAGTGAGATTTAAGTAGTTTTTTTCCTGAAGTATTATTAAAACTTGAAGTTTTATTAAATTGTTATCAGTTCTTGAAGTGTCAGTGTTGAATTTATTATATATTTTACTGTGGAAGTAAATTACAATATACAAGTATATACTGGAGAGATTAATCATATAAGTTAAAAGGTAATGGTTTTTTTTATACATTTTAATCTACAAATAATCTATCTTACATTTGATTTTTATACATTTTGTTATACAAGTTGCTGACAGGATATATAGGAAAATGTAGCCTGAATGAAATAAATATGACTTTGACATTTTGAAAAAAAATCAATAAATGACTCATTATGTATCAGTTTTATAAATATATATAATTAATTCCCAGCTGTTTCAGAGTTCAACATAAGCTGTTTTTTTTGTCTCATCAAATTATCTTTAACTATCTTTGAACATATTTCTGCAGTGATATTACACTCTATCTTTTCTTGTTATATAAATTCTCATTTGATGGTCAAGAAAATTGGTATGTAAATTTTTGGTCAATATGGATAATGCATGATTCTGGTGTCATGGTTGATATAGCAACAAATGCATTTGTCTTCTTTTTTTCTCATAGATCCACCACTTCATTTAATAACTTTAACTTATGTATACATCAGGAAAATCAAAGTCATAACAACAATTTATCAAAGGTCATAAAAGAACTACATTTTGTACTATATTTATTGGTCAAGAAATTCCTCAGTTGTCTCTTCATACATCTATTTAAGTACTAGTAGGTCTTTGCGTAGAACCACAGTGAACTTCTATAAGTTGGCTGAACTGCTTTCTAACATGACTGCAACCTCTGATGGGATTCAAACTTAAAGCAGTGAGGGACATGTGATTTATACCAAATAACTTACTTACTAACGTTATCAACCACTTGACTTAACAAAGCCATTTCTCTAAAACCTAAATTAAGGATGATGTCTTTTTTGTCCTGACAACCTTTCTACCTTGTATGATATATTTATTTAATGAGCAAATTAACTATTTACAGAGAATAAAGATATTTAACAATTTAAAGCATAACCATAACTGATTTTATCATGAATATTTATTGAAAAACTGTTCTAGCTCATGGACTCCGATGCGTAAAAATTAACATTGAACTGTAAATATAACAGTTATAGCTCAAGGGATTTATAAGGAGAATTAAAAGAAAGAAATGTTAAATTTAATAAATATGTCAGTAACAGTCAATCATGATAGACATTACACTTTTCATCATCCTTCTTTTTAAGAAATAACTATATAATTACTCTCTTTCCCTTTTTGACCAGTTTAAATCTTCTATAGTCTGGTCATTTTCACAAAGATGTAATTGTTTATGGTCTCGGGTAAAAACAACAAGCACACTTCTATTTTTGTTTCTTGTTTTCTAACCTTGCATCAATTTTACCTCTGACCCTTAAATTTACAGAAGAAACTAGAATAAAACACAATTATATATTATAATATTATATTGTTACCATAGTGCAGTAAAGGGTTAACTGCTATTAAATTATATAAGGATTTAACCCATTACTGCACTAAGGAGACAATATATTTGGTTTTTAATAGAGGTTAGAATGAAAGCTGTGAAAAATGCTTATTACATCATCATAGAGCGGCCTGGGTACATAGTCAAAGATACTTTTATATCAAGCTAATTATGGTTGTGAAATCTGGGGTGGTAGGTAAATAATGTTTATTGTGGGAAAAGGTGATTAAACTTGGGCATATGTCTGATTAGGTCTTTAAACTAAGGAGTAAATTAGGCTCTTTTTATCAGATAGGTAACATTTTCTTTCTGCAAATCTCTTCAGATGAACCATAAACCATATGAAAATACAAGAAATATAGCAGCAAATGGTTTAGAGCTTGGTCCGACTGCACAGAAAGGCAAGTTGCTCTGACTTCACTTGTGGCATAGGCTAATGTTATCATTACAATCATTGGATTGTTTTAATTGGAGCTAAAACTGTCCTCTATATGGGAACATATCTATGGGAGGAGGAGGAGTTAATCATTACAATATTTACCATTTGTACATACTGTTGTATGTTCTTGAGTATCATGGAATAAATGAGAGAGTATTATTTTACCTAGAAAATTAAAATTTAAATAAGATGACAATTAGTTACATAGTTTACAGGAATGAATATTTAATCATTTAATTTTTTGTCTGTTCTGTTATTAAATTTATTTTTTTGTCTCAATTTCTTTAAAACTAGCTTAAAATTAAAGCAGGACATATTAAAGAATATGAAATTTATTAAATGAAAGTAATAAAGGATGATATTCAAACTTTGAAATATTAATTTATTGTATCATAAAAACGAGGTAATTAATTCAAGATTATCATTAGTTTATGGTTTTCCAGGTGGAAGATATTTATTGGGTCATTTGTAAATATATCTTATATATCTCTTAAAAGGTGATAACTATTATGATTTGATAACCCTCGTCATAATAATATTTTGATAATATTGTTATGATGATTCAGTGTTATCATTCAATGATGATGATAGCTTTATTATTGGTTTCATTTTGATAAAGTGTTTCACTATAGATGTAATTGATTTAATATAGTATACAGTAAGGTAGGACCACAGTCACAGGTGTTTGTATAAAGGTACAATTAACATTTTTTTTTTTAAAGACATTTATATACATTTTGATTGTAAACTATTGTAATAATGTTGTAACTGTTTATTTCAGTTTGTATAGAGTTATGATGATATTACATTGAACGAATAATGTAGAAATAGCTGAAATATTTTTGTAGTATTTAGTTTACTTGTGTTTGTTGATTTTTGTATACAAGTTTTTTTAGATGACAATACTGCTAAGATCTCTAACAATATCTGACAATATGAGGTTAATTAATACCAAATTATCTTGTTAAGTATCGTGAATATTAGCGGAACATTAGTCGAGGACATTGTGAACACAATGTATTCAACACGAGCTACTATATCATATAGGTATATAATAGTAAAAAAAAACAATACATCTGATCACAGGCATTCTGTTAGTGTATTTGTGCAGTTTTAAATGGTAAACTGTACATACTTATAGTAATGTATATTATTTAAAGGTCTTGTTTGTAGATTTATAAACTAGTATAAACTAGCTTTAATAGTGATGGGTATAGAGTCGGAAAACATTGTATTTGACAAATTGGTTCACGCAAGTGTTATAAATTGCGGAGATTTTTTTAGGGTTGATAGATTGATATTATACGTGTGACAATAAGTGATTGTACTGTAACTTCTTTAAATATTTTTTTAAAGTTTTTGTACAATGTGAATTAGGTCAGATTTTTAAAGCAAAGTAATATTGAATATTGGAAATGTCATTGTGTGAATTGTTGTGCTGAATGGAATAAGAAATGAAAAGTGCATGCTGTTTAGTTAATGATACAAATCATGGTTAAATTGTATAGTGAGGAAAGGTGATGAAAAAATGAAATTTTATAGAATTTAGACTTATAGATATATTTTAGATTATATTGGACTTACTGGTTTTCATATCGGAAGATTTTAGTGCGATTAGATATTACAATTATAATAAAAATTGTTTTTTAATTATTTCAGGTGATAATACCAGGCCTTCCATATCAGCAGAGAGATTTCGTTCTGGTTCCCAGCATCTGTCGGATCTATGGTCTTTACAGTCATTGTTATTCACTGATGGAGAATCAGACATTATACAAGTAATACAGTGAGAGTGAAATGTTCAATTATCCATTTATGAGATAAAATTAGTTGAAGTGATTCAATTGTTTAACCTCATTGCTGATAACAGAATCAGTTTACATTGCTTACATCAATTAGTGCGGAGATAACACTGTCTCAACCAGGAAAATATCTCCCCTTCATAAAACCCTAGCACAGTCACGTTAAACGAGCAGTTTTTGAAGGACAGAAAAAGAAATGTAAAATTCATTGCTACAAGTGTCTCATTTCTTTATTTGGCTTTTAAAAAAGTGATTTTAGTGTTTTTTAACATGGAGAGATAGAGAGGTAAAACTGGATATAGAAGATAGTCATGAGTTTTTTAGACTGCAAGAATATTTTAAGGTATTTGACTTTTAAGATTTTACAAGTATATTTTAAAACATAGAATATAAAAATGGAGTTGAAGATATGGGTAGATGGTATAAAGCGAGTGGTGTGTGGGGTAACTGATCATACAACCTGTCAGGATATAGTCATAGCTCTAGCTCAAGCAATGGGCAGGACGGGAAGGTTTACACTGATTGAAAAATGGCGGGAAAATGAGAGGCCACTTGCACCAACCGAATGTCCGCTTTTAGTGTTACAGAAGTGGGGCGAGTTTGCTAGTGAGGTGAAACTTATGTTGTATGAATCAGGTACAAGAAGAAAACAAAAACAATCTGAGAAGGAAAATGTTCAGAAACCTCCTGATAGGTTCACACATAATTTTACACCACCAGTGAAAACAAGTGAAGCTGTGATTCGAAGGTCATTGACCTTCAGTGGTGGTTTAAAACAAGACTCTGGTTTATATAGAAGACCTGAGGGAATTCAGTTTCAAAGACAAATTAATCCGGAGCCTGTAGGTAATGGTAGACAAGGTAGACTGTTACAAGTTCCGGAGAAAGTTACCAGTGATGGAAATTCGTGGTCAAGTTCGTCATCTTTGTCATCTCAAAACTCTGCATCAGCACAACAACAACAACAACGACGGAGATCATCATCACATGACCGTGTGACATCACATGATCGTCAAAGACCTTCACCATCATTACAGCCTAATCAAACTGTACAGTATGGTGGATACGGACACCAAAATACTCAACAAATTCCACAGTTACCACAGAATGTGCCACAGTTTTCAAACCAAGGACCACAATTCCATCAAGTAACAAATCAGAGGCATCCAAGCCATAACCCCATTCCTGTAAATAATTCTTCAATTCCGAGCAACTCAACTCAACAAAACCATAAACATTCCATTCATAATCAACCTAAATACACAAATAATGTGCCATTATCAAATGGACCAGTAAAACCATTGACTAGACCTGTAACTAATGGACCTATTCATTCATCAGCATTTTCTCCAGTGCAGCCACATAAAAACAGTTTCGAGGGTAAAAGTGAATCTCCAAGAATCTCTAATATGGATATTCCTATATATACTGACCATAGAAAATCTAGTCATAAACATGACCTTGAAGAATATGATTTAGATAGTAATTTTCCTGATGTTGTCAAGGAAACTGGACAAGATCGCCTCATTGAAGAGTTTCGAATGCCAGGCGGCCCTAGTCAAGGGCAACATAGGAACTTAATGAGCAGGGAAGAAGAGGAAAGAGTGAAATTACTTCGTTTGGTGACGATGCAAAATGAAAGAATTAAAATGCAAGACTCTCAACTTGAAATCATTGACACAGGTTTGTTTATCATTCTAGATCAATTCAATAAATGTATGTGTTACGTACTAATAATTGTTGCAGTAAATGTTGATGTAGCTGTGTTGATCGAAATACTAGTACATGTACATATCAGTTACTAAGTTGTGTTTATAAATTGAAAAAATTTACATGAATGCAAGTTGGTTAAGAAAATAAGTTTATAATATTAGATTATGTTATATACTTGGTAGTTACTTTCTTTGTGCCTTTTAAGTTATACTTATCTTTTTCAGAAATAAGCTCAAGGGAACAAAAGCATGAAGATTTAAAACTTGAAATTAACCATGTTACAGAGGAACTGGCCAAACTTTCAGAACTCAGTAAACTTAAAGAGGAAGAATTATATAAACTTGACAACGGAACTTTGATAGATGAAATAGAACATGAAAAACAAGTGGAACGTGAGATTAGAAATGAAATATCTGCCTTGAGATCAAGACTTGTAAAATGTGAAAACGATTTACATCAGTTTCAGTCCAAGGTTCAGACTTGTGGTAAAGATTTAGAAAATGAACAAGAAGTGCTTAAGGCAGACGAGAAACGACGTAGAGAAGAAGAGGTAAAATTAGAAGCTGAGATTTCTGAACTTAGAAAAGAAGTAGATGTAAGATCTAGAGAGGTGGAAGAGAAGACCAAGCTGTATGATAGTGTAGAGAGTGAGCTTAAAGATGTAAGTGAACAGTTGAATCAGAAAACTGAAGATTTAACATCCACAGAGAAGGAACTTCAGCGTGAAAATCTCAAGTTTTTTCAGCATCCACAAAGTACGGAAAATTCCTCAGTGACAAATTCCAACAAAACAGAAGGGGAAGGTTAGTATAAACTTTTACTAATTTTTTTTCTCTTATTTTTAAGGGGATCTCTATAGTAGTATGGTAAAGGTCTCAGACTTGGACTTTTTCCTTCTATAGGTTCAGCCAGGAATGCTAAATTCATCTATTGAAAAGCTTTGTATGGTAGATGGTTCTGCCTCTATACTTGCTTTTGCCAGATAAACTTGCAACAGGCACATGAGGTTTTTCTCTGCCTGCTCAGCTATTTAAAGCTTGATTTATTAGGTGAAGAAATTTCTCATTGATTTATAAATTATAATACTTGTTTATTGTCAAATATTGTAAAAATAAGCAATGGTCTAGGCTGAAAACTATGTTATACTAGACAGGCTGAGTGCTTATATTAGTTTTCAGGATATGTCCAAGAGTAAGTTTTATTGAGATATCAATATTTGATAATAATAAATGGCTAGCTATGTTCAGGAAGGCATCCTCAGTGCTATATGCTTGGTAAGCACATACAATTTAGCTTTCGGGAATTAAGATATGCTTTAGTCTCATGCCAAGTATTGTATTTATAACTGGTATAAAGTCTGTGATATGTTGAGTATGTTCATGCAGTAACTATGTATGTTATTTCTGTCTTGTTTTGTAATTAAAGAATGCATCAAGTTATTGGTGATGTATAAACTGTAGGTATGCATGTTTTACTGCAATAGTATAGCATTGTTAGACTGTGTTACAGCTTACTGCAAAATTAAATACTTTTTATTACTGTAAAACATGGGGAATTTGCATACATCTGAATTTGAAAGAACTTTAAGTTACATCAGTCGAGATAAGATTTAATAGAAATTTTTTTTTTTTCCTTTAGGAATTTGTTACATAATTTGAAACTCAAATTTTGAGTTCAACCTTTATGCAAATGTTATATTTTCATCATAATGGTATTTTGAAAATTTGCCTTTAAATGAATGGACTTGTCCATATTATAAGATGGACAAGTCCATTTAAGATATTCAGCAGAGTAAAGACATATTACGATCTCTGAGCCATTGCTAAAATTTTGATGATCATCAGTGATTTTATTATAGCTTTGTTGTAAAGTAATCCTTGATTTTGATTGAGTTATGTCCCCTGTGACATTCTATATTACTTCCAGCATAGTAAATTATATTACATGCAAATTCTCCATGTTTTACTATGTAATAATGAATGATGCTGCTGCTATGCAACGTTTGCATTTACTTGCAAATTTTAAGTACTGAGCTTAGGATTGACAAGTAAATCCTATTATAAATTAGACTTCTCTTGATTTAATAGGACAAAAAAATTATTAATTTGTACGATTTATTTTGATAATTTACAGATGTTTATAGACAATTTGAAATGTTACTTCACTATGACTCTGATATTTCTACGTCATCTTAGATCAGTAAAGTATAAAATGCTCTATAATGGCTGCGGAAATGTTTGATATTAAATAATAAATAAAAACTTTAATTTACATTAAAAAATATTTGTCAATAACAGCATGAAAAAAGCTCTCTTTTTTGCTGCATGGGAAAAACAGCCATTTTACATATCATGTTTTCTGCTTCAACTGATAAAGGCGGTGAATGCAGTCATTTATTTTGTATTTTTGGGGCAACTTTAATGTGAAATACATGTAACATGTTTTACAAGACCAGGCTCTATATGTTTGTTGAGGCTCATGCTAATTTTGGGTTGAATGTGATGACATCAATTTTGTGTTTTTATTGCTTTTTGTCTTTTTAAAAGAGGCGACAGTAAATGTTTGACTCATGTTTAACTCGTAATTTTGCAGATACGAATGTTTGGTATAATTATCCGCACTATAACCATAGAGCTAATACCGTCAGAAGGAATGTGAGTTTGTCGCTTTAATGATATATGTGTTTTATAGTGTTTGGTTTTTTCTAGGGCTTTTGGTAATTTACCACTTTTATGTTGCTTTAAATAAAATCACAGATTTCATGAATAAAATTCAGCCAAACCTGTAATCTAAAGACCACCTTTCTGTAAAGACCATTGTTTTAATAGTTGCCAAATGCTAAAAACAGCAAGCATCCAGAGTAAACAAATTAAAATAAATTTTACTAATTTAATAAATTCAAAAATGGATGAAACATTTAACTGAAGACTGTGAGATAGATTTAAAGCACATAAAATGTGGAAGTATTTGATTTTTTTTCTCTCTCATTTCGGTTACTGGGCTTACATTTACCAGTTAATAGAAATGGCTGATTTTTAGTTATTCATTTTCTATAGCACTGATATTATTAAAATTATATACATATAAATTATATTTTGTATTCTATAATGGATAATTGATTTTTTTCCAATATTGGTGGTCAATTTACATTCCTACCATTGTGATATTGTAACACTATTTTCACCGTCTGCATAATGAAACATTGGTACACAAATTATATATTTTCTTTGATGGTGGATTTTTACTATACAATAAATGTACTGCATATTTTTCACTTTTTATTTATCTATATAAACATGATTTTTTCTTTGATCTTTTGTGTGTCTGGTGTATTTATACAATGTTTACTCTCAAAATTTTATTTGCAACCTTTTGAAGTGGTCAGGATTTCAATGTTCCCATGTAGCAACATGATGGTATATAGAGACATTACAATGTTTGAACATAACAAGGCCTGCACAACTTTATTGTTTGGTTAATGAAATAAGCTGCTATTATTTTATCATAATCTTCCCTTTCCTTGAAGTATACACACCATTATTTTTTTTCTCAAAATGCCTAAGAATAGTTCAGCAGTTATGCTCCAGTCATTTGTAATTCCAGTTCACATTTCCTATGAAATAGCAGGGACATTGACTTTATGATTATCAGACCCCCTGTGCTGTAAAGCACAATGAGGGCATAGTAAAATCCCCTCAAGATGCCCTACCCTGTAGTTGGTTAAGATGCCCTACCCTGTAGTTGGTTACATTAGTCACATGGTAAAATCCCCTCAAGATGCCCTACCCTGTAGTTGGTTACATTAGTCACATGGTAAAATCTCCTCAAGATGCCCTACCCTGTAGTTGGTTACATTAGTCACATGGTAAAATCCCCTCAAGATGCCCTACCCTGTAGTTGGTTAAGATGCCCTACCCTGTAGTTGGTTACATTAGTCACATGGTAAAATCCCCTCAAGATGCCCTACCCTGTAGTTGGTTACATTAGTCACATGGTAAATCCCCTCAAGATGCCCTACCCTGTAGTTGCGTTTAAGATGCCCTACCCTGTAGTTGGTTACATTAGTCACATGGTTAAAATTCCCCTCAAGATGCCCTACCCTGTAGTTGGTTACATTGTCACATGGTAAAATCTCCTCAAGATGCCTACCCTGTAGTTGGTTACATTAGTCACATGGTAAAATCCCCTCAAGATGCCCTACCCTGTAGTTTTGGTTAAGATGCCCTACCCTGTAGTTGGTTACATTAGTCACATGCGTAAAATCCCCTCAAGATGCCCTACCATGTAGTTGGTTACATTTAGTCACATGGTAAATCCCTCAAGATGCCCTACCCTGTAGTTGGTTTAAGATGCCCTACCTGTTAGTTGGTTAACATAGTCACATGGTAAAATCCTCTCAAGATGCCCTACCCTGTAGTTGGTTACATAGTCACATGGTAAAATCCCCTCAAGATGCCCTACCCTGTAGTTGGTTACATTAGTCACATGGTAAAATCTCCTCAAAGATGCCCTACCCTGTAGTTGGTTACATTAGTCACATGGTAAAATCTCCTCAAGATGCCCTACCCTGTAGTTTGGTTACATTAGTCACATGGTAAAATCCCCTCAAGATGCCCTACCCTTAGTTGGTTACATTAGTCACATGGTAAAATCCCCTCAAGATGCCCTACCCTGTAGTTGGTTACATTAGTCACATGGTAAAATCCCCTCAAGATGCCCTACCCTGTAGTTGGTTACATTAGTCACATGGTAAAATCCCTCAAGATGCCCTACCCTGTAGTTGGTTACATTAGTCACATGGTAAAATCTCCTCAAGATGCCCTACCCTGTAGTTGGTTACATTAGTCACATTGGTAAAATCCCCTCAAGATGCCCTACCCTGTAGTTGGTTACATTAGTCACATGGTAAAATCCCCTCAAGATGCCCTACCCTGTAGTTTGGTTACATTAGTCACATGGTAAAATCTCCTCAAGATGCCCTACCCTGTAGTTGGTTACATTAGTCACATGGTAAAATCCCTCTCAAGATGCCCTACCTGTAGTTGGTTACATTAGTCACATGGTAAAATCCCCTCAAGATGCCCTACCCTGTAGTTGGTTACATTAGTCACATGGTAAAATCCCATTGGAATACCAGACATTGTGACTTGGAAATAACCACCTCTCTTTGTCTCAGCCAACAGACAGAGTAAAAACTTGTCCAAGTTTTCCTGCTATTCAGTACACAGCACCTGGGGTTTGGTGAGCAGGTATACTAATGACTGAAGCATTGCCCAGCTAACATAGTATGTCTTCTATTGTAAGTTAGAGAGAGTTCAATATGAAGCAGCCAGCAGTATAGAGTTCTGTCAGGTGACTGGATGGCTGCTGGCACACAGTTGTCATGGGCAACACAAACATTTAGAACAATAGTAACTCACAAAAGTTTGTTTTGTTGTTATTTTAATGTATAGAAGATAGTGATGTGATAGTGTGTTATTTGTGATAGATTTAGTTTCTCACCTGCAAACAACATTGTAAATTCTTGTAAAAGGTTTTTCTGATAAAAAAATCTTTTGCAATGAACTGTTGAAATTGTTTTTTTGTTCAATGTTTCAAATGATTTTCGTTCAAGAATCTTTAACATGTTAGAGAGAAAAGTAGTGTTCACTAATGGTATTTTTTGTGTGAGGTAGTATTAAAGTGTGTCAAGTACATGTAGTTGTTTTGAATTAGTTAGACAACTAAAAAAAATCAAAACTGCACCAAATTCATTTTGAGAGAAAATCTTGAGAGGTTTCTTAGTATAGTTCCATAGCTTGGATAGACCTTATATGTTGTGTTCATCAAAACAATTATTATAGTAAATATGTATTATGTAAATATAGCTAGTTATTAAAAAAAGGAAAAACATTTTCTTTAACTTTGTAACGCAAAAAAATATTTTTACTCAAATGTATCACATCACATATATTTATATTATCTTAAACATTTACTAAAACAGCTAGACACTTATTATATATATTGCGCCATCTCATGGCATATCAATTTTTTTCTGCAATTTTTTTCTGAAGAAAAAAATCCACAATGATATTCAAACTCTGTTTTGTTTGTTTATTTACAGCAGTCATCAAGGTCCTGGAGGGAAGTGTCACACCAAAGTTGAAACGTAATCGGGTAACCCCTAGTCCCCTTGCTGTTCTAGAGATGACCAAAAAAGAAACAGGAGTATGGGTCTGATGTATATCTATGCAATTAGACTTTATGCACCAGTCAAACAAATGAAGCCTTGTCATTGGTCAACTTCAAATGATGGTCAAGAAACAATCAAATCAATGGCTAGATTTTTAAGATTAGTTGCATTGAATGTTAATTAGGACCCTTTCGTCTTAAGATATTTTGGTGAAGAAAGTTGGACATCACAATCTAAATCTGTGAAATAGACATTCAAGTACAGCACATCAGAAGAATGGCATATCAGTGTTTCTAGACAACTATACATGGGCAGATAACTTAACAATACCTTCCAAATCTACTTTGTATTGGTTGACGATCATAATATGTGCTCTGCATTTATAGGTTGTGAAATCAAACATCTAGCCCAAATAAATCCCTGCAACTTAACGTTACACTTGATCTAATACATCAAGGGATTGGATCAATCAAAGTGAGAAGAACTTTGTTACCAGGCACAGTTTACAGTACCAACTAAATTGTACTAAAATACCTTTCCAACTGTGAAGTAGTTATTCTATTTTTCGTTGATCTTGAACAAAATAATTTTCGATCTTATTTTTTACAAGATATAACTTATGTTCTGAGGAATTCACATTTTTGTAGATTTGATTCAAGGAGATAGAATTAATTAGTTTTTACTATAGTTTGTCTCCCTTTCATAAGATGTTAATATATTTTACACAGTTTGGAAAGGTAAAATGATGAAATATGTTAAGATTATACATCTTGTATTAAATTACCTCAAGTCATGTGACCAGTAAGGAACTTGTTCATGACAGTTACCATCACTGTAAATAACCACATGTTAATGTTTTATTTTTCTGTATCTATTTGTCATCCACACAAGTTTTTATTTCCGACACTTCTATAAGACAGGTATTTTAATTGTTTTATAATTGTCAAGGTATGAAATAGATTTACATTTTTACAAAAATGTTATGTATAATTATGTAATATTATAATGTATAACAGGTGGCGTATATTAAATGAGGAAGAGAGGTCCTCTGATTTGCGACAAATTTTGAAGTAATATAAGAAGAAAAGTATTTTATGATATATTTATATCCCGTTCTCTCCACATAATAATTATTTTATTTTTAAGGGCAGAGTGATAGAGCGGTAACATTTTTATTTGGATGAAATGGAAAATTTAGAAGGCACCATTGTAATCGAAGCCAGAGTGGTGGCCTAGTGGCTAAGGTGTCAGTCTCTCAAACAATGGATCATGGTTTCGAGCCCTACTAGGGTCACAACCATGCTTCCTGATATGATACCAGCACTGGTTAGTTCCAGTAAGCACACTCAAACATGATTAATATGAGTTACAAAACTTGTTTCGCAATCAAGTTAAAATTATTACATGTATGTATATACTAATCCAAGCCAGATCAATTACACAATGCAGCATGATTCAGTGTTCAACGTTTTATGAACAAGTGTGGTAAAAGTTTGTAACATGAATTGAAATATTTCAAAAGGAATATTCTTTAATATTGTTTATATTGATTCCACATTAAGTAAAGCAAACCTCAGCCACAGTTAACTTCTATCTGCTAATTAACAAAATACATGATTATTTTAATTTTGTTTCTGGCTTTTCTTGTACAAAATCTTTAATTTACTGCCTCTTAAGCAGCACAAAGTGAAGATTAAATAATCAATGTTTTTTTGGGGGTCATATTTCTTTAATATAAGAAATCCAGATATTATTTGTTTGTAGAAAAATGGAGTCCAGTCGATTTTGGCAAACTGTACTACCAAGCTTGTTCTAGCATTTCTGTTTCTTTGACTTTCTGTTAATTGTTTACACTAAAGGACTTTTACTGATGTTTCTGTCTGAATTCTCTAATGAGATTGAATATAGAGGTCTTGTTATTTACAGTAGAGAAAGATAATGCTAGTATCAACTCAAACATTTTTGATCTTATTTTATGTGCTTTTTTTAAAATGCTGGCTTAATCTTTATATTATAGATATATTTTATTCTATTACATTCTTTATATTTTATTTACTGCATATAATCTACCTGTAATGGTATAACCTTTTACTATTTATAGTTTTTACATTATAGTCATATAACTTCTTATATAGAATGTGCCTTTTTTTCTTCTATATATACTTATATATACGTGACAGAGTTACTTCCCTTACCATGTTATATTTTCTTCTCATTACACTTGTATAGAAGCCATTTCAGCATTGTAAATGGTTTAACATAATAGCATCATCATTTTATGACAAGAAAAACAAAAACAACATTCCATTAACAGGACTCGAAACATAATCTAGTGATTGTATGTGTTGAATTCATACAAGTATATTTCTATATTCTCGAAGTCATCAGATTACAGAATAAATTATGCAGGTTTATTTATCTAAGTTAACATATATTTTATGGAAGTTAACATATAATATCTAGAATCTTTTATTCAGAGATTCACAATACAGTCATTAGTGTACAGATATTAGTAGATTTTCCCTGCAGACAGGTTTACCATTACATCTAGCTTACCCCATACTGAATCTACTTCAGAAAAGCCACAAAAATGTTGTAGTTGATTTTATTCATTTTCCTTTCTCTGAATTTTGTTATGGTATTAATTATTTGTCAGTCTGTTAAATGAAAATTACAAACCATTTTCTGCACTGAACAAGCCTAAATTACTTGCCTAAATTTAAAACTCAGCAAAGTTTGGCTTTACAAAATGTCTATGTTCATTTGCTGTATTTTAATGGCAACATTACTGCAAAGGTTGAATTTTTCTAATTTCTTTTTCCCCAAATTAGAAATATTTCATATCCTGTGATAAGTAAGTATGCTGATATGATGGTAAATTTGTCTCCATGGAAACACAGTCATTATCTGTGAATACTGTAACAACATCATCATCATTGTTTTTTTTTGTATTTTGTCAAGGGTCTGTGCAATTTTGCCATGTTAAAATATATTTATGTAAATGTGAGATTTGTTTGTTGTATTTTCTATTTTGTTTGTCTAAAAATGCAAATATGTATTTATAATGAAGTTCCAACATTACGTACTGTTGGTCACTGACTTTGGAACTTATTTGGTATAAATAACAAAATAATGAAATTTGAGAGCTGATCAGTCTGTAGAGACATGCTGGGTTGTCAAACTTTACATTGGTGTAACAAGTTGGTGAAGCTTACAGTTAGATCTCTATATTGAGTAAATTGACAAATAAATTTGTTATTGTTTTTAGTCAAACAGACAATAAACACCTTCTACCCTTCTGTACCATTGCTGGATAGTTTCTACTCATAAATGGAACCAAGGGCCCCAATTCCCTGTTGAGATTGAGCACACAGCAATGAGTGGCAAGAGCAGCAATAGACTAACTTCTTCATATCATCAATACTACACTGCACCAAGAGGCATATCCTACAATGAGGCTATAATCATTACTACAGAAACTACCATGTCTATTTCACTACAAATTTATTACATATGCCTCATTACTTATGTCAGTATACCAATTTACCCTCTCTACATAAACTTGATACTGAGAACAAGTCTTCAAGATCCCTAGCTTAAAACGGTTTCAAGCTTGATGAATCCATCTTCCTGTCGGATAAATTTGTTGGAGGTCTGTAACGTCAGCTTCACTTTCACCAGACAACATAGATAAATAGAGCAGGTTATTTGAGATCTTTTTATTGTTTATAGTTTAACATTTACAATATTCTTAGCATTTTCTATGCCCAAATCAGTTAAAATGATAAAAATTCACATTCAAACATGTTTTAAACAAAATACAATAATAATAATATTAACAAACATTTTTCCCATTACTTAAACTGATTTATGTCAAAAACAAATATATACATAGAACATTGTGTTCCTTCATAAAAATAAAATATCCAAGTCACAACAAATAAGTTAAACTTTCTAATCTGAGTCATGAAAACAATAAATAAATCAGTTTTATTCAAGAGGGCGAGGGATGCAATTTAATTACACATTCACACTCGCACATTTAGTCATAGTATAGTTACTTTGCTTCTACCAGTCAAGCTTAAATGCCCCTTAAATGCATTGTCTCGGCATCTGGGTAGAATACATACTTCAAACAAGAGCACCGCTAGGCGGAGCATTATATGCCCGAAAATGCTTTTTTTTTGAGTAAGGATGAAGCATTTGTAAAACATTACATAAATTAAATAAAGTATTACCTCCTTCAAATAGCAATCCTCCTATAAAGTTTGAACATTGTGGGCCAAATGGAACATAAGTTATGCTCTGGAAACTGTTTTCAGTTTTGAGGTAATAGTGACCTTGAACTTTGACCTTGTGACCCCAAAATCAATAGGGGTCTTCTACCCAATATGGACAATCATCCTTTTGAAGTTTGAACACTTTGGGCTAAATAGAAATTAAATAACGGAATATAAAAAGCTTGCTGTTAAAGCTATATTCAAAACCACTCCAATCAAACCATTGTTACAGTTATGTTATCTACTACATGTACTATACAGCATACTTCTAAATTGAGATAATGGAACCGTGTATGTTTACTTTTAAGTTATTAAATGTTCCTTTTTTTAGAATAATTGAAAGGCAATTTCGGCCTGGTATTTAAAAATTGGTGACACTTTAGAACCACACTATGAAGCAAGGTTAAACACACAAAAAAAAATCAAATTTATTTCATGCTTTTTGATTGACAATAAGTTTTGACAATAAGTGATGAGTGATACAAAAATATCTCACTGGTGAAAATTTATATCTCATTAATAAGTATAAGAGACATATACATTGTACATCTTATCCAATTATTTAGTTGGGGTAAGGTATACAGATTATATAATGGAGTGCTAAAACACACTAAAATGATTTATGAAAGCAAACACTGATGATAACTGAAATTTTTTTAACAAGTGGAATATTTCATTATGCATAACATTTGTCCTGGAAATATTTAATCTTCTACAATTAGGATTACCCTCTGAACATGTGTAACAACAACAACAATAACAACAAAACACACGTTCATACAAACAAGAGAGCCGTGACAACCCTTGATTGCTCATCTAAGTTCCATTGCTAGAAAATGTCATAATTTCTGTAATGCAGAAAGTTATTGAGTCACAATCAGGTGAGGACATTTATAGCATTGTGCCATGATTTATACGAGTATGTAGAAGTCACTAGGCAATGCTTCATGCAAAGTATCTAAGGTAAAGGCCATGTAGTTTACATAAAAAGATTTAAATGTATTTCCCTTTAAACGGCTATGTAAAATAAGTGACCATTTCGCCAATTTTGACTTTAGGAGCATGAATTATGTAACATTTGTAGTGCAAGAAAGTGGTGCTACACACCAAATATCTAAATTTGAAAGTTGCATTTTGTAAAGAAAAGATTTTACAAGTTTTTGAAAGTTTGTTTTCCTTGCAAGTAAATTTAAGTATTATGTACAGTGTACCCAGGTCAGGGCCATTTTTGAGCCCTGAGACATATTTCATATACTCTTAGTCCTCACTTTTGTAGAAGTGCAACAGGCAATGCTCTAGGACATGTAGTTTCAGAGAATTAAATTTAAAATGTATTTTCCCTACAAAGGTCTATGTAAATTAAGTGACTAATATTGAACAGAGGCCATGATTTATGCAACTTTTGTAGAGGACGACAAGGTGATGCAACATGCCAAATATCTAAGCTCTGTTGTTAGCTATTTCGTATAAAAGCTATTGTAAAATAAGCCAATCTGGGACATGTCCTGTTGTTTTTTAACAAGACATGAATTTTTGTTGTTGTTTTTTAACAAGGCATGAATTATGTAACTTTGGTAGAAGTCTACAAGGCAAGGCTAACTTTGGTGCCAAATATCTAAGCTCTTGAAGATGTAGTCGAAGAAAAGGTTTACATACGTTTTACTCTGTGTAAACTTAGTGACCTACAACAGCTACTATACCTATTTTGGTATTAGACTGGAGGCGTTTATGTAACTCTAAGGAGCATTCAAGTGAAGTTTGGTTTAAATCTAGCAGTGTTAACCCATTACCAGATATATACGCCTTTCTACGCCTTTTTCACCCCCCCCCCTTTTTGCGTTCTCAACTGGTGAAAAAATGCCTTATTTAGGCCCCCAAACACTTGTTTTTGTTTGAGAAATGTTGTTTAAAAAATTGACCACTTTTTCAAGAAAATTTTGGACTTGTGGGAGGCTAAAAATGGCCCCAGGTCAATCATAAGGTAACGTGTAACCAATACTGAAAAGCCTTTGACTCTATCTCAATCCATTGAGAAGTGGCAGCACTTTGAAATCAATTTTGATGGAAAAAATCAACGCAAAATAGTGATTTTTGGCAATTTTGAGATGTCCCCTAGTTGCCATGGTAACAGGAAATTTCAGACTAAGCATGTTGTTACAAAGCCGTGAAAGGCAATGGTCCAGTCAACATTTGTGCAAAGTTTGATTAGTATTGAAGCAGTTTTTATAGTTTCATAGCAAGTTGAACTTGAAACAGGACACTTTTCAATGAAAACAGCCATTTTTCACAAAATGCTCATGGGGTAATGGGTTAAAGGGATATATTGTTTATAGAAATTGTGGATAATGTGATAATAGACATCATGATATCACTTAAACGCACCTTTGAGCACTTAGTGCCTGCACGAGAGCAAAACACAAAAAAACCAACTACTGTAAGAAGAATTTTAGTTTCTCAAAACCCACAACATAACAAAAACAGCAACAAAGTAATATATACATGAATTAATATGCATTATCAAATAATTTCTGAACAATATAAAACTTGTACTGACAACCTAGAACTTGCCTTAACAAAATAATTATTGCACTTATATCTATTTACATATATTAAATTCTGTAATATTTATTAGGCTATAATAATACAGTTCAGCTTGCTCAATGCCCCTAAATGCTGAGAGAACTCCACCACGCTAAGCTCCGTATTTATCCTGTTTTCATTTTGGCAGACTTACTAGTGTATGTATTAATCAATTTTAAAAACTGGAAAGCTTACAGCTACATATTTTCAAACATTATTCATAGATAACCTATAAAATTTCTACCTGTAAAGATTTGTCATTCATGATTAATTACTTATTCAACAAAAATGTGTTTCAAAGGACAATAAAACTTGTTATCACTGTAATACTTTTGAAATCAATCTATACATGTATTTGCAAACATGCCATGTAACACTGCAGCATTTAAATATAAAATGTGATTCATAGCAAGCTTTTCTTTTCTAATGACTTGTACAGCATTGCAACATTTTAGTAAAAAAATATATTGCTTTGGATGGTTAAAAAAATAACTGTTTGTAAGTCTATAGATTTCCAAGAACATTTGTCCATAGCTTTTTACCATCATATCAATTCTTTTCATCATATCCAAACATTTCTTCCTCCACTGGTTTAGAAACCCATTTACCAAATCCATTCTCTTTAAATCGTCTCAACATTGTCTCTTTTGCCGACACAAAATCTTGTGCTGCCATCTTAGCCTCGTTATAAGAGTTTACAGAGAGTAAATCTTGCCGACCAAACTTCTCACATAATGACTTGAAACTTGTGAATAAATTATGCTTGGAACAACGTGAGAAAAAACCCTTCTCTATGCTGAAATAAAAACATAAATGTAGTTTGTATTTGAAAAAAAAAATTCATTACAAAAAACTAAATTTAACAATTATTTGGTTTACATTTAACAACACAAACTTTGAATTCCTTATAATTCACCTTTTCAATCACATTTAACCCTGCTAACCTAAAAGCAACTGGAAATAAAGGAAAACTAGAAATGTGTCCATAGCCCCTAGTCTATGGACAGTGTGTCAGCAACACAGCATGAGGATGGACAAGTGCAAATCTTTATGTACCCTCCCTCCTAAGTTGGGGCATAAACACTACCTTTACAAGGACTTAGGTGAATTTACTAAAACAGGTTATAATAATCTCAATTTTGAGATGACTGCACAACAGCTGATTTGTAAGTGTTTATGTTCTATTATAGAAATTTCTTGTAACAAAAATTGAAAAGCAATAATTATGCTCAACACTTCATTATAGATGCAGGTAAAGTTTGGTTTTCTTGTTTTTCATTTTTTTTTTCATCTTTCAATGTTTACTGGTGGAGGGAAACCTCAAATGCCCTTTTGTTCATTATTTAAGATACTAGCTAGCATGCATGAAGATATTATTATAGTTACAAACCTAGTGAAACAAAGTCCCTGTGTACCATCAGTGACTTCCGGTGCATTGTCTCCAAAACACCAATTTATACTGAGAGCTTTAGTTTTCTGTACTTCTCTAGGAGGATCACACGCAGTCACTCTGCCTAACCATGGGTGATTCAGCTTGAAACCTGGCGGTAGCTCACTGTTTACATCCCTGTTACCACGGCCCACTCTACAACACACCGCCCGACATAAATGTCCATGATCATATAATAAACCTGTTACAACAAAAACATAGCAAAAGGTTAAGCATGTAGCGAAAAGGAGGATTTTACCGGTAAATATTCCATATTCACATTAACATATTTACTTACCGGTAAATATTCCATATTCACAATAGACTATTTATAAATTTCATACTAACTGACAAATACATCAAGTTTATTGAGTGTTATATTCATTGATATAAACCGAGTTGTATAATACTTTAGAATTTTTCCTTGGCAACATTTTTTTGCCCTTTTAGTCCAAAATGTATAGCTTTTGTACTGTTGTGTGTTATTTTCACCTTTTCAATCAGTGGCAAAAATATGACTTATTTATGAATTATTGTAACTTACTGTTATATTGACAACATAACAGACATTTTTTAAGAGTATCCAAGGCAGATTACTCTTCCATGGGAAAAAAAACTCTTTAATACAAATTGCATATACTAGTATGCTGCTTATTACATCTGTATTTCTAAATTCTAAAAATAGTTTAAACTGCAATGTAAAATCAAGAAAATATTATCAAATTTTCCATTCAAGTCTTCCTTTTATAGGGCACTGTTTTTAAATTCAAATGTACCACAGACAAACAGTTTATATGTTTTTAAATAGTCATTTTATGATTCTCATAACATACTTTGATCCTTGATTCCAGATTCCTTAAAACATTTCAGTTTTTCTAAATGAAGAATACCTCAGTTGCCCCTCTAAGCATTATTTCAGACAGAAATAGGCACCTGAGTAGAACCACTAACCTTCCATAAGTTCCAGAGAGCTTCATCAAATGAAACAATTCGAAGTCCATAGCAGAACCAAACTAGCAGTGAATAGAGGCAAAAGTGTTTCCCTGTAAGTGGCTATCACCATTTGGCTATGGAAATCACCTAAAAATTACTTGTTGTCTATAAAGCTGTCATTGATTCAGTCCAAACAAGCAAATTCGTTGAATTTATATCCCCCGCCGAGTACTGGTTGTTATTAACACAACAACTGAAGACATAAGGCTTTATTTATATATTAATCATGGCATAAACAGTAATATTCTTTGAACTTGATAAATATTCAGGGCAATAACAGAGCCATAACTTCGAGTTAAAAAGTAAAATCTGGAAATGCCAATGAGATGTATGCATACTACATAACTAATCAAGGTCCATAAATCTGAGTTAAAGGGTCTGACCGGAACAAGCCGACGATATGCGCATCTCCTCTTGATATTGATGATTCCCATAAAGTTTCGTTGAATTCCAGCCAGTAGTTGCAGAGAACTACTCCGGAAACGATTTTTACTCCATATGCATATTGCATAACTAATCAAGGGCCATAACTCTGAGTTAAAGTGTCTGACCGGAACAAGCCGACGATATGCACATCTCCTCTTGGTATTGAAGGTTCCCATAAAGTTTCGTTGAATTCCAGCCAGTAGTTGCAGAGAAGTAGCGCGGAAAAGATTTTTACTCCATATGCATACTGCATAACTAATCAAGGGCCATAACTCTGAGTTAAAGTGTCTGACCGGAACAAGCCGATGATATGCGCATCTCCCGTTAATATTGAAGGTTCCCATAAAGTTTTGTTGAATTCCAGCCAGTAGTTGCAGAGAAGTAGTGCGGAAACAATTTTTACTCTATTTGCATACTACATAACTAATCAAGGGCCATAACTCTGAGTTAAAGTGTCTGACCGGAACAAGCCGACGATATGCGCATCTCCTCTTGATATTGATGATTCCCATAAAGTTTTGTTGAATTCCAGCCAGTAGTTGCAGAGAACTACTCCGGAAATGATTTTTACTCTATATGCATACAGGTACATAACTAATCAAGGGCCATAACTCTGAGTTAAAGGGTCGGACCGGAACAAGCTAGCGATATGCGCATCTCCTCTTGATATTGTTGATTCCCATAAAGTTTCGTTGAATTCCAGCCAGTAGTTGCAGAGAACTAGTCCGGAAACGAAATTCGGACGGACGGAACAACGCCAAAACTATATCCCCCTCCCGATTCCATCGGCGGGGGATAATTACAAATATCCACCCTACATGTACATCAATATATCTAGTATTATTCATCTGTATTTAATGTTCAATAATTGCCTTCTAAATGTTTTTTTCTCACTATCCTTTGTCATCACTGCTAGGAATTATGACAATACAGTAACAGCAGCATAATTTTTTGACACAGCACCTAATTACATTAATATTTTGATTGAGTTTTTATGAATTTTATACATTTTTTTGACAAGTCAACATTTGATTTTTTTTTAAAATGTATTGATAATCAATAAAAAAAAAAAATAATAATAACTACTAATTCTGTCTATTAACAGCTCTAGTTGGCTATAAAAGGTAAACAATACCTAAAGTGAGAGAATCCAAATATATAGGTTCCAGGAAATGACTTAGTAATGCCCCTTGCAAACCCACAACATTCCACCTACAAACTTTATCTGTACAGGACATTGTTCGTAACCTTTCACCCCTCTGTATACCATCAAATGTTTGAACTTTGAACCCTGGCTCTACAGGAATTGTGCCCTCACCTACAATGAAAATCCAAACATACAGTTAGAAATATAGTATAAAGTAACATTTCACCAGATTTGAAGTAAAATACTTAACTTCCAAGTAAAGTGAATAAGTTTTTCATCTCAAATGTGGTATACAATGGAATTTGCACCATTGAAATGTATGTTGTTTTTTTTTACATCAGTTAGTTCATTGATCAACCAACATATTACAGTTTGTAAATTGGTTTAAACATATTTATTCTGAATAGTACATATAATGTACATACAAATAATCAACAAACAAATATTTTTACAAACTGAAAAGGATGAAAACGAATAACAAGTCTTATTGAATTCTTCTCCCTAAGTTTGTAGATTCAAATCAGTAATGAATGTAAAATTTTACGTATTGTCCTTCAGTTTTTTAGATTCAAATCAGTCATGTTGGTAAGAATTTACGAATTGTCAGAATGTTTTGTTAAGTTATCATTCAATACAGTAATGTTACAAATATCATACCTCCTTCAACTTTAGTTCTCAGTAGTCCCTGTACATTGCTAGAGAATGTAGGTTCATGTGGGGGTCGTATACGGGTATCTAACGGCGCTTTAGCTGACTCAACATCCCTGCAGATATAACAAGAAAATAACAGTAAACACATTAATTTCTCTTTTTTGTGAATGTAAGTTTGAGTTTTTTATGTTTTTTCTGAAGAAAGACTTATTCATACATTTAGCTTTTTATGTCTCTTATTCTTTTTGAAAAGTCGCAGTGGGCCGGTGGGTCTAGAGACAGGGAGAGAGAGAGAGATGTGTTCTCACAATGAATGTATTAACATTGACCATCTTAACAACAGGGGTATTGGGTTCCAGTCCAAATGGTGTTACAACCATGTTTCCGCATTCAACACCAGGAAGTGGACTTGAAAGTCCTAAAGTCCAATAATTTCATATGACACTTGTACTTAAAAATCCAAGTAGTCGACTAAAGAGAGGTCCAAATAAGTTTAGTTACAAGTTTTCAGAACAATGAAGCTGAAATGTGTTTAGATTAAACAAAACTTACCTTGGTGAAAATAAAGCTCCATCACCACAAGGTGCTGTAGAGATGTACAGATGGAAGGATATATTTGGTCTTATTTGTAATTTACCCCTGGGAGATTTCTCCAGCATCGGATGGGGTCTATTAGGGTCAAACTCCATAAGCCGTTTATACAAAAACCTGAACAACAAATAAAACCATATCAGTCATCTAGACAAAGAAGTGTCAATAAATGTAAATAAGCACATTCATCCTAAAACATTAAAAGTTTTGTGCAAGCAACATATGGTTCTTACCATTTTTATTCAAAAGAATATTACAATGGTTTTAATTATACAAAACAAAATCTTGCGTACAACTGCTGCAACTTTCTCACTTTTGTTTTTCCTTCACTACATATCATGTGCCAGTATGCAATTAAAACTGACAGACAGACATGGTAGGGTGACAATTACGAAAAAACTAACCTATTTATAAGTGCTATCCGGACCCATTTTTTAAATACAAAAATTGTTCACAAATGTTTGTAGTTTCCAAATCTGCTGGCATAAATTGGCATAAATGGTGGCGAACAGAGAAATCTAAGATGGCGTCCAAGATAATAGCCAAAATTATGAAAAGTATCCACTGTTCTCAGAGATTGATGATCTTGTAAGGTTATTTTAAACTTTACCATCTAAATTAATTACTGATAGTTATGAGTCTTGGTAGATGGCCTAAAATTATGACCTTGAAGGCCTTTCATACAAGTTGGTGGGTGAAACAAAGCATGAATACAAAACCAACCTTTACATTGGAAAGTTTTCAGGTTCAACAAAGGGTGTTTTACATTATAAATTCATTCTGGTGTTATGATCTTGAACAGTTATGATTCTGATGACTTTTGAGAAGTTTCAAGTGAATATTTTCAATTGTTCTTGTAAAAGAACTTGCATGCATGTAAAATATAAACAAGGGCATTTCAAAGTTCAAAAGGGTGTAATTCACTAAAATTCCAGGCCAGAGTTATACCTCCTGAAAAGTTACCTACTTTACTTTAATTTTATGATTTAGTTTGGATCCAAAGGACATCTTTGAAGTTTCAATGGATACCTTTAATAGTTAATGAGATATAGCAATACATCTATAACCTTCAACAAATGTGACATTAATGCTTTTGCCAAGGTGAGATAGCAGCATTTTCATCCAAATTGAATTTGATATATATATAATAAACATTAACAAAGTTAAATTACCTCAAAAATCCACGCCTAGTTATGATCTCAGCATGCGAGTCATTCACTGTGTTACCTTGGAGACTCAATTGTTGCCCTGTGATACACCTGTTACCTGTAACATTATATACAAAATAAATGAATGAATAAATAAATAAATTTTGTTAAAAAAAATATTCTTGTTCTGTTTTAAACACGCACGAAACAGTATTGTATCTGGTACGTACTATAAGATGATTTACTTATCGCCCCTTTTCTTTGTAACGCCATTTGTAATGTCATTTGTAAACGTTGTGTCATGGCGAAATTTTGTCGCAAAATTCGGACCTATATATGAGTCGAAGTCCCGATGTGTCGAACTTTTTACGTAAGTCCCTTGAACTTCGACTTACCGAAGTTCTACTGTAATTATATCATAAATACATTACTGATTTCTATAATTCTTTTTATTTCACATCAATGAACTTCCAGCATTCTGCAAGTTCTGATGTTTGAATTAAATTCTTTGTATTCACTTCAAGAATTCTAGAAAAGCTGTTAAAAATTGATATTGAGTGTACACCATCTAGCCTCATTTTAATATCTCAAGTCAAAATTATCAAATCCAGATTGTTCCATATGTAACCTTATTTTTATTTTCTGAGTCCAAATGCCCTATATCAAATCCATATTGTACTTGAAGTAATTGTTCTTTAATATAATTCAAAACACTGTTGATTTTGAGGTTTTCTTTTATTTAATATAAATTTCCTTAAGAATTAGTGGTGTGAAATAAGAGTTCATTATAAACTGTTTAGCATCCTACTGAGTACTGATACTTTTGGACTCGTACACAGCTGCAAAACCCATATTGGACTCAGCATCTCATCCAATTTAGGTTTATAAGCAACATACACGTCAAATAGAATTCAGTTGTGCACTAAATGTATAATAACCTTATGTTGGTATATTTCTTTATTCCTTTCGTTTTATTTGAAGAGATCACCTTCAAAATGTCACCTTGCCATGATCTCTTGAAGTGTTTCCTATTATAAGGTAATAATTGAAATTTTTTGCCAAACCTGTATCATCCAGTTTTTGACATTTTTCCAAACTTGATTGTTTTTAAACCATTAACACCATATGTTGAAAATAGTTCAAATACATTTCACAATTCACAAGTCAAATTTAAATACACACCTGTTCCTAGACTGACTAAGACACCAACATCGTCTGCTGATCTTTTCATAACTAGTCCAGCTATAACTTTACGTCCAGCAAAAGATTCAGCGGTAATCTGGGATACAAGGGCAGTGAACCCACGGTGAGTGAGCGCAGCAACTGTGTCAAAATGTGTCATATTGGCAGCAGGCACTGGAGGGATAGAGCCCTGAAATATACACATAAATAAATATAATTTTTGTACAAACTAAATTTGAAAAACTATAAGCATCTTATAGCACCTTCCGATATAGACTGGAATATCCAGCTAAAGTGTAATTGTTTACAGACATAACGAGACTCAGCCGAGTTTCCATTTAACAATTTAAAGTTATGCAAGAGCTAAATATTTTTGTCTATGACAACAGCCTGTGTTTGATTTTTTTTCTTGCATATTATGTTTTAAACATATTTTGGAAGAAATTATGAAAACTACTTTTTTCATTTAGCTCTTTTTTCTTATAGCATATTTTGAATTTATTAATTCATTCATAACAGCGAAATAAATTCGTCTGAAGCACTTGATTGACTATGGCAATGACATTATTTACAGCACCCCACTTGTTTTACACAGGGGGTTACAGTATTTTCTTGTACCAGTGTAAACAGTTGTGAATCCTGTCTGATATGCAGGAAATATGTAGGTTTAAGATCTACCATTTCATAATTGCAAGGTGTGAACCTCCACTAAAAATAGCTAATAAAAGTAAGAGGACTTCCGAGTTTGTCCTGACAAGTTTATTCCAAAGACATCCTGTGTTATGTTTACATTATTTAAAATTGTAATTCATTAAATGTATTAATTTAGGATAATAATCAAAACATGCAGTTATTACTGCATTAGATGCTGCATTTTCTGCCTGGAACTGTCCCTCTGCTACCAGTTGCCTCATAGCAATATCACACGCTTCTTTTCTCCCATCTTTCTTGTTATGGCAGGTGACTGATGGGAACTTACGCTTCCCTACAAATGCTGCCATCTCAAAACTGTCAATGACAAACACTCAAAGTATAAAGTTTAACAAGAGAAATATCTAGAGATAAACCATATTATTAGAAAATAAAATATGTAAACTGAATAAATTGCTGGAATCTGTTACATTATCCAATGTCAAGAAACCTTTGGGTTTCTTTTTCTGTTGGGTTTTACATCACACCAAAATAACAGAGGATATATGGCAGCTTTCCAGCTTCAGTGGTGGAGGAAGACCTAAAGTGCCTCTCAGTGTAATATTAAGTACATAAACGGGCACCTCAGTAGAACCACCTACATTACGTGAGCTTGTTGGATAGCTTCCACACATGAAAAGATCTAAAGTACATAGTGGAATTCAAACCTACAGTGGTGAGGGGCAAGTGGTTTGAAGACCTTAACCACTCTGCCATGGGCTCCCCACCTTTGTTTGTTTGTTTGGGTTTTACGTCACACCGACACAGTATAGGTCATATCGCAACGTTCCAGCTTTATTGGTGGAGGATGACCTCAGGTGCCCTTCCGTGCATTATTTCAAGAAGAACGGGCACCTGAGTAGAACCACGGACGTTCCGTAAGCTTGTTGGATAGCTTCCTCACTTGAAAGAATCCATAGTCCCTGTCAGGATTCGAACCCACAGCGGTGAGGGGCATGTGGTTTGAAGTCAACGACCTTAACCACTTGGCCACGGATGCCCCCTCCCCACCTTTAGTTTGGGTCTAACCAAGATAGAAACAAGCTCTATCCTATTAGGCTAAGCAAATGAGACTTGGATTTAGGTCAAGCAGAAATAAAATTTTAGTCATTGACTTTTCTGAGGTCTTTCGTCTTTAGTACCCTTTAAGTTACTTTCCTGTAACAATGACCTCATAATCTTTTGTTCTTTAAATCAAAATTAAAGATAATTTCTAAATGTTTTTATAGATATCAGTCTAATCATAGCTTTATAAAGATTTAAAACATGCATTTTAGGATAGAATTGTGGAAAATAATGTTAAATATAATCTCTCTACAATCACTGGTATATATTATTGACATGTGAAATATAAGCAATCTTAGAAAAGTTTTACATTTTTAAAGTAGAGATAATATTTATGTAAAGTTAACAGACTATATGGTGTATTAAGATTATTGGGTGTCAATAAAAATAAACAACATTGTACATACAAATGTAATATTATTCTTACGTTGGCTTATGTGAAGATCCCTTCCTGTTTAAAACTTCAACTGTAGCAACCATTTTTCGTGACTGGGCATATTCCATCAGAGCACTAACTGGATTCTTGTTTAAAGCATTAAAACTTTCAGTATTGAGCACAAGACCAAGATTTGGTTTTGGGAAATTTTGGGCTTGTTTTGGTACAAGTGCGGGTGTGGACTGAGGCAACTGTAGCCCTAATTTCACAGCTGGTGGGGGTGGTGGTCCTTTAGATTTTGGTTTACCTTCTAAACTTTGTGTAGAAGACTGCAACATCATCTGATCTGATTTTTTGAACACAGTCTGTCTATTTTCACTCCCAAACAAAGAACCAGTCTGCATGAGACTAGACTGGTTAACAGAATGTTCAATTTTACTGTCTGAGCTACGACTTTGAGAGGCAAACTGTCCTAATGAAAACATAGACTTATTCTCTATAGGTTGAGTTAAAGTTTTGTTTGACATAGTATAAGACGTTGTAGAAAATAGTCCACTTGACTGACTTACAGATATCTTATCCTTAAAACTACTTGGAGGTGAAATTTCTGTCTTTTTCAAACTCTTAGATAAAATATCTAATGGTGAAGGTGGCGGACCTTTATTAAATGCACTTTTACTTTGGTTTCTACTACTACTTGACCTGTCGGAAGATTGAGACTGTGTCTTAGTTTTAAGGCATTGCATACTTGCTGAACGATTTGGATAGTCTGCATATTTATCTGGTATATCACGTTTAGTAAGTTCTTGAGTAACTGGAGTTGTTCTCATAGAAGTTTGTGATAAAGTCAACTGTGGTTTGCAAGCAGTTTGAAAATTAATTTCCATGTAACTTGACTTGTCACTTTCCTGTTTCTGTGAGGGAATCAGTTTTGTTGTATTTATCAAATTTGGTTCAAATTGAAGAGACATCAAAGGTTGAGGTATTTCCTGACTAAATGGTCCTTGGTTCGACAAATTTCTCTTATCTGACCTATCTAATGGATTAGAATCAAACTTAATGGACATGAGGGACTGAGGGCCACTGTTTTCAGTACGGGTTGAAGAATTGCCATTTCTAACTGGAGGTGGCTTGAACAAAGAGTTGGGACTATGAGAAGTTAATGTCTCACAAGATGGTCTTATATTTTGTCTCAAGTCATTTCCAACCCCATTATTTCCACTTAAATCAGCCCCTTCTTTATTTAAAAGTGCCATTGGTGATGGTGGTGGGCCTTTAAAATTAGGTTTAAGTTTCTTTTCTGTCTGAATATTCTGCTCAAATTTCTTTTGAATATTATTTTTCCCTGTTTTCTTACTAATGTAAGTAACACCTTCATCTGTTATTTTCCACAATTTTGAACTGCCTGACACATACTTCAATGATAAGCATTTTTGCAAAACTTCATCTAAGTGTTCAGGAGGAATATCTGTTTTTCTTTTTAGAACAAATTGGGCAATAGCTTTTAGTTCTTGAAGAACTTTTAAAACTTTATCACAGTCCTCCATATCAAGATCATCAGATTTCATATCATTTTGAACATCATCCGTCAATTGATCTCCAAAAGTATCCTCATCCATCTCTACTTGACTTATCTCATCCTTTGCTTCTAAATCATGTTCAGTATTTACCATAGTTTCCTGTTCCGGTGAATCATTAAGATCATCTGACTTACTATCTTGAGATGCCTGAACTACAGGTGAACCCGAGATCTCACTTAAATCAAGGGCAATATCAAGTATTTGGGGAGTACTCCATGAACCCTGAACATTCTTCTGCACTGGTGTATCTACTTCAGAAGAACTTGCAGATAGTTTTGGTGTGTCTTGGTTTTCTGTATATTCAGAGATGCTGGATTCACTCTTACATGATGTTAATGATTTAACAGCTTGACTTGCAGTAACATCATGTTCTGATGGAAGTTCACTGTCAATATCTTGTCCACTTTTGAAAGAATTATTTGAATCCTCAGATATTGGATCATCTAGATTAAACACATCCCTAAATGTCTTTGGTTTCTTTATACTATCATACTCATGATCATCTTCAAGACTTTCATCATTCTGGTTTCTTACAACATTCCAAGCATGTTTCTTTGCACAAACATTTTCATTAACTAGACCAGTTCCAGAATTACCTGTACACCCAATCATTCCTCCAGAATTCTCTGTTTTAATGGCCGACAATTTTCCATCAAAATTCAACATATCCATTCTTTGTTCAGCATCTTGCTCTTGTTTGTCAAATGTATCTCCATCACATTCAACAGCATCATCATCAAGATCACCATAGTTACCAGTCCCTTCAGAAATGTTATTGTCTTCATACCTTTCATTAATTTCACTTGATCCTTGTGATGAAACATCCATATCATCTTCGGCAGGAAAAAAACCTTCACTTTGTTCATTCTTTATATTACTACAGCCAGCTTCATTTTCTTCTTTCAAATGTGCGCATCCTGAAAATGTCTCAGATCCAAAAAGAGGCTCTGTCTTGAAGAGTTCTCTTTCCTGAAATTCTGGGATACCTTGACCTTGAGAGAAATAGTTACCAGACTGGTTATTCTCTGCTGAAGCACCAAATCCAATGCCTTCTGCACCTGTAATTATATCATGAGGAAAATCTCAGATTTAAGCTACACCTGAAATATTGCCTCCTGTCTGATAATATATATATTTTAACTTCTAATTACATTAAATACATGAAAATATATACAAAAGATAGTGGACATAACGGTAGCCCTTTTATTGTTCACAAAATTAAACCTTTCAATAGATTAGTCTTACCAAAAATAAGAGCTGTAAGAGAAGTACGCTTGACTAATTAAATACTGGACTCAGAAAAGAAAGCCTAAACTATAACAAAAATCAATGATAATATTAATACATTATATATATTTTTGTGTTATACATGTACTATGAAAGCAATTTTTTGAATATCCAATATTTTTCCCATCACATAACATGCATGTGACCATGTCATTGAAAGTGAAACAGAAAATATTTGCAGAAATTTCTATGCTATAATGGAAAAGACAACCATTTGAAATCTGAATACATTTAAAAATAAATATTCTTAACATGAAAAAAGTGACTGACAGCTTTTAATAAAGTATGTTTTCTTGCTTTAGCAAATAATTTTATCTCACAATTTTTACCTCATTTTATTCATTTGAACTTTTAGAAGATCGTCTAATTGTTTTTGAGATAATAAATGAAATGTTGATAACAGAGTATCTGTCTATGTTGACAGCTAATCCTAAATCTTTATAATGGTCACAGGTGAATAACTGACACCAGAAAGATCTCAATAAATCACCCTGATTGGTATATTACAGTAAAATAACTACCTTGACTATACTGAGGTTTCACTTCTGTGACCAAGGCCCATGTTGGTGGTTTCTCTGAAATCTTCTTTATCAATCCCTCTTTTAACATACCATATAGAGTGGTGTTAACCTCACTTGCTCGTGAGCGACCAGTTCCCTTAGCAATTTCAAGAGATTTGCTTGGCTTAGATCTTCCATTTAGATACTCTAGTATCTTATATTTTAGATCTGCATCGTCTTTCTGCTAAAATTAACAATATAACTCATTATTATACATTCTCAAATTTTTTAGAGATTTAAGAGTAACAAAATGAATATAACATTCACAAACCCTTTCATTCTTCTAATATTTCCAATAAAACCTCATCAGCTGTGATTTCTTTGAATGTAGAAATAGAGGTTCTCAAATGACTAAAATGCTAAAAATGCCCAATGTAATATATAAATTTGTAATGATACACTCCTGCCCCCACTGAAAAAAACACAAAAAACGACCCTGCAACAGTTCTTACCAAAATTGAGATAAGATGACTTGTACAGAACAGATGCTTAATGTAGAAAGGATAACAGATCATCTGAGCCGAGTCATGACAAAACTAACATAATGGGTTTGCGACCAGCATGGATCCAGACCAGCCTACGCATCCATTTCTTTACTTGTTATAGGGTCTGTAAGCGAAAAGCATGGATCCTGATCAGACTGTGTGCATGCGCAGGCTGGTCTGGATCCATGCTGGTCGCAAACCCATTATGTTGGTTTTGTCATGACGCAGCTCAATTCTATATTAGACTATATACAAGTTCAAGTCAGCAGAGATTAAGGGAGTGGAGTATGAGTGGAGTATGTTAGTTGCCCTAGAGGTCTGACCATAGTTCAGCTTAATCTAACAGATTGCACTTCTTTGAAAAATTTTTCATTTACTAAAATAAGTTTGAAGATAAGTTTAATTACAATATTCCATAAGGCCATAAAGCCCATGAGGATATACTTTGCATTATAAATGGCAAGACAAGACAGTCTAAAGCATAAATGTACAAAACAATTGAAACAGCGGAGAAGGTTTACAAATAATTGGTATAATTTAAATTTTACAATGAGAAATTTTACAGTGGTTTTTAGAAAAAGATATCTACGCTTCTTTTCAAACAAAATTTCTTTTCAACCAATGTCCTACTCCAACCACAATTTTCTAAATGATTTACAGTCAGCTATCGTTATCTCAACATCGCTTTTCTCCATATTTCGTTATCTTGATGAAATTTTGAAAGTCCCAATTTTCTTTCCTCTATATCTATAATGAATATATTTGTTATCTCGATATTTTTTCTTTCGATAGTTTCAGTATCTTGATGTTATATTTTAGCACCAACAGTTATTTTCACACTATTATCTTTTGTTTATCTCGACTTTTCGTCCGTTTCCCAAAGGTGTGAAAAACACAAAGCAGACGTTAATCACTCATTAGCGCGTGTCACAATGATAATTATGTTTGTAACAAGTCGAGCTGTTAGTTAATCTAATTAGCTATTTATCAACATGTCTAAAATGAGTGAATTTTCCGTAATGTAAAAATATTCTAACACGGTATTTAATTCATTATGACTTTAAAGAGACTCCACTGAGGTTTTTTGACATGACAGGACTGGAAATAATTTTTTCAGATTATTACTCCATTTGATGTAGATCTATACTAATAACTTATGTGCAAAATTTCAGATCATTAGCTCGCTCCGTTTTTTCCAGAATAATTATTATAATAGTGAAAAATGACCCAAAATTGACTCTAATCAAACTGAGAATAGCACAAACATATGATTTTCAATGTATTTCTTGTATATTTCTTAGTTATATTTTATTTATATTTCTGTTTAAAGTGCTCATATTTATAATATATGTGAAAAATTAAAATGTCATGTTTAGGCTTATAAATCCCAGTGGAGTTCCTTTAACATTGCAATATTGTTTCACAACATTGTGGGAAAATGTCGGAAGCTAATAATAATTTGAAAAAACAAGTAAAAATCAGTTTTTGACTGGGTAAAACACTTATAAGTTTATCTTGATATTTTGTTATCTCAATATTTTTGAGGGTCCCGATGACTTTGAGATAACGAGAGTCGACTGTATGTCATTTCAAAGGCCTCAGGGAACTTATTTCAGATGTCAAAGTATTTTAAATGCATATTGCAGTATCGTCTGCAATCAGGAGAACCATGAAATTGATGTTATGTGGTAGGTCATTTATACACACAAGAAATAAGAGGGGTGTTGAACGACTGAGCCATGGAGACACTATAAGATACTGGGATGGGGTCACAGCTGCTGCCATCTTGAAAGCTTATGACTAACTGGAAAGTTTGACATCTGAACCCATACTTGTTTGTGTTAACTGTATAACAGTCAAAGAATTTAGGGCAAGAAAACCACAAGCTTTTTAGGCTAGTGTCTGGTGATATAATACAAAGAAATCAAATATTTGGGTATCCATACTCATTATATATTTCACTCATAGGAACATAGGAACATATTTCTATTTGAAGTACAAGATTATAATTTTCTATGGCACAGTGCAGTTAAATGTAACACAAGGGTCATCAGTGATGACATGTGCAGCCTCATGTTAGCCATATCTCAGCAAAAAATCATTCAACCTAAAAACCTGGGTAATGTGCACAATAATTTGAGTAAAGATCAGATCTGAAAAGTTTCATTGAAATTGCGTTAGTGGTATAACAGAAGTAGTTCAGACAAATTTCAAAATTAAAATTATGAAGAGGTCAAAACTGTAACAAAAATCAATGAAGCAAAAATTTTGAAGAGATGCACAACTAGACATGGTATTGATCATTCCCCTAAAGTTTTAATGAAATTGCACCAGCAGTTTCTGAGAGGTATTCCAGACAAACCTCTGGTTAGCTGGCAACACAAAACAAGAGGGCCATGATGGCCCTTGATCGCTCACCTGACCCATCAAACTCATCGGAGCAATTACCTAGACAAGCATCCTGACCAAGTTTGATGATAATTGAGTCAAAAATGTGACCACTAGAGTGTTAACAAGGATTATCCATATTTGAGCAGTGTGACCTAGTTTTTTACCCAGGTGACCCATATTCGAACTTGACCTAGAAATCATCAAAACAAACTTTCAGACCAATTTACAGGATATTTGGATCAAAACAGTAGCCACTAGAGTGTTAACAAGATTTTTCTATTTTTAGCTCCTGTGACCTAGTTTTTCATCAGAGATGACACATGTTCGAACTCATTCGAGCTATCACCTAGACAAGCATCTTGACCAAGTTTGATGATGATTGAGTCAAAAATGTAACCGCTAGAGTGTTAACAAGATTTTCCTATTTTAGCTCCGGTGATCTAGTTGTTCATTCGAGATGACCCATGTTCAAACTTATCCGAGCTATCACCTAGACAAGCATCCTGACAAAGTTTGATGATGATTGAGGCAAAAATGTGACCTCTAGAGTGTTAACAAGGTATTTCTATTTTTAGCTCCTGTGACCTAGTTTTTCATCCAAGATGACCCATGTTCGAACTCATCTGAGCTATCAACTAGATAATAGAGGTGTCATCGATAAGGATTTTTGTATCGATATATCGGTAATGAATTATCGGCGATACAGCGATATATTGATTGCCAGGATAAATTTTAGCTTTCAAGTCTTTTTAAATATTTCCTAATGACACTGACAAAGCAGTTGTATTTAGACAAATGCAAAAAAGATAAACTATGAAAACTGAACAATTTGTTTCTTTTTTTTATTGTATAGCTATAAATGAAAACTAATGACTAGTAACTATAAAGTTTAAAGCCTTTTCCATTTTACTTTAGTTGTTGTTGTTGCTTTTACGTAGTTGCTCATCGTGCTAAATCCCGTCCTTGCTGTTCCAATTAAGCCGGGTTTAATTGGCAAATTATAGTGTTTAGAACCTGAATAATTATTAAAGTTTAACATTTGTACTCATAATTTTTACAAATAAACACTGACAATTTTTTCTTGGCATTTTCCTTTTTTAAAATCTGAATTGAGGGGTCTTGACATCCACTTAGCATACGATCGAGATTACAACGAAATTAGGCAGCATTTGTTAGAGACACTGGGAGGTAACTTTGGCATTGATTTCCGTTTTCATTTTAGAAATTTATATGTCGCTTTTATTTTGACGTTTTGCGACAGTAAACAGATCTACCAGTTCTATAAAACCTGTTCGCTGAAACTAGTTCTATAAAACCTGTTTGCTGAAGTTTCTTTAGCTAAAAATATATGTGCATTCGATATCCGATATTTCAAAAATGGAATCGATATCGAATCGGATAACAAAGATCGTTGATACACCGATATCGATTGAATCGATGGCACCCCTACTAGATAAGCATCCTGACAAAGTTTGATGATGATTGAGGCAAAAATGTGACCGCTAGAGTGTTAACGAACAAGTGTGGATGGACGATGGACATTCAACGATCCTTAAACTCACCTTTTTTATTCAAGGGCAATAACTCAGGTAAAAAATCATTCAAAACGTGTGTATTATGCACAAGCACTTAACCTACCAATCAATCATGTACAGTTTCATGGAAATTGCATTAGTGGTATAATGGGGAGTATTACAGACAAACTTGATCAACACCCTTTTCATTCAAGTGCCGTAACTGGGCCAAAAATCATTCAACCGGAAAACCTATGCAATATGTCAAGGACTTGAGCTACATATCAATCCTGTAAAGTTTCATTGAAAAATTGCATTTATAAGTGGTATAAGAGGAGTTGTCCGGACAAACTTCAAAAATTAAAATTAAATTATCAAAAGGCCATAACTCTGTTTAAAATTATTGAACTAGAAAATGCTGACGATATGCACATCTCAAATTGGTACTGATCATTCCTGTTTGGATGAAATTGCACGAGTCAGTAGTTTGAGGAGTAGTCGGGACAAGTTTTGTGAGGGTCTGACAGACGGACAGATAGTAGACGGAGAAGTGATCCCTATATGTCGCAACTACTCTGTAAAGGCGACACAAAAATGACAATAATTTTACTTATTCAATTTTTTGACCCAATATTGGTCATCAAATCGACCAAAATAACACCCTGAAATGTTTGAAAAAATCAACATCTAACATCACTCAGGTCTGAATTGGTTAATATAATGGTAATAATTTCCATGTTATTTGCGATTGATGGCCAATTTTTCAGTAATTTTCACCATATTTCTAATGCGTTACTAACGCAGTAAGGGTTTATTTTGCATATTTTGACCGCTTTTTTGTAATTTAAATTGGTTGTTAGTGCCGTTTGAAATGTGCATATTATTTTCTCTGTCAGCTTTACAATATTTACTTTTGAATACATTTTCAAAATTTTCATGAACATTAACAGGAATCTGGAGGCGTGCTGCTTTAATGTCAAACCCTTGCTTGGATTTGACATTAATGGAAGATAGATAGACCCTTCACACCATTATACATGTATTAATCAATTCAGCCCCGAGTGACGATAGATATGTAAAAAAATCAAGTTTTTAATTGCCTTATATCAATGGTCCAAAGTGTCCAGATGTCGGGTTCGAAATGTCAATGGTCCGAAGTGACGTGTTATCTAACATATATGATATGGAATGAGGGACAATATTGGATTATCTTCCCTTGATAAAAACCAAGGTTAACCAAAATGTAAGTAGGTCCAAATATTTGGAATCCTTTGGTTTTATCGTTGAGTTTTATGTAAGACAGGTTGATATGTTTTAATCAATTATTTCCACATGCATCAACAAATATGTAAACAATAAGAAAAAAATGTTTCATTTATGTCAACAGATTCTACATCTTATCGCAATATTTAATCTGAATATTACAAATGATAATAATTAGCCCTAATTAATTCAGTTTGCTACAAAGAAATAGGCGATAAAGTCCGAGTAATCCAATTGCTTAGGACCTATCTATTTATAGGGAGTACTCAGGGGAGGTTATTCACTAATGTCCCCCATTATAAATACAATATGTTAAAGAACCTTTTTGTTTGAGATAATATCCCCAGAAGCACGCCTAGAACGTCGTGTTGCGACTGGCAATGAAGAGACAGCCCCACTCCCAGGCAGAGCCCAAACTGGCGGGGATTCTTCACATTTGACAACACGTCCTTCACGTAGTAATTTGTACAGCTGATTGTTAAGAGACTTTTTTGGTACTCTGAGAGCTTGAATAATTTTCGCAGCAGCTTCCTTCTTCTTAGATTTTGAATTTAAAAACTTTAAAATTCGTTCTTGCAGATCCCTGTCAGCCATTTTGCAAGCGTAGACTGCACTTAAAATCAAGGTCAGTCTTACGTATTTTTTATACCAAATTTTTCGAACCAGTCTGTAACTGTTAAACCGAAAGTACAAACCGAAAGTAGATTTTCTGGAAAAGGTTATCATTTAACTTCTTTGTGTTAGGTTTAACTAGTATCCCAAAAGTAGATATTCTGGAAAACGGATCCGCATAACTTGATAAGGTTATCATTTTAACTTCTTTGTATTAGATTTAATTAGTATCAATATGTATTTAATGTATCTTAGCTTAATTAATTCGGCGTTTGACTCATTTCCTACTGCCAAACTGGGACATATCTATATCGTATATCCCAGTGCCAAACAAATGGTCAAACTCTCCCTTTCAAGTTACTCCCCATAATCGTTTCCTCCCCCCAAGACAGGCCTGTCTCATATTGAATCAAGTTGTTGAAAGACCGTCAAGATAGAACATCACAGATTTCTTACACATGCACGAGTACATGTATCGGACCTGGGAAGAAAATATCTATAAAGAATGAAACAATATTAGAAATCTTCGACCATTCGGGAACTACTTTGCTTGAAAATTAATGCGCCTGTCATTTGACAATACGCATTGATCTCTCCTGAATTTTTCGGTGTTATTATACATATAAAGGGAAGTAACCGCCTCAAAAAAGTGGACTACTTTAGGCATTTGCAATTAACAGCATTAGGCTCTGAACTTTCGCTAACATTATTTGTTTGGTCTGACGACCCAAACAAATAAAAACCTCTGTGTCAAAAAAGTGATATACATGTATATGCCCCCTTAAAAATATACTATAAGTTAAGAGTTTCAGTTTTCAGGAACGGGAAGGGCTAGAGACTAGAGGTCAGTCTCATTTGGAAGCTTAATACAAACGTGAACTCGTGATAAAAGTTTATTTTAATTATCTGGACAATTGTATTCACAACGTCCCGGGAAATTAACCCCTTGCTCGCAGACTCTAATCTGAAGTTTCCTGCCTTGGCTTAACTTAAAGTATATTTATAAGGGGGCATATATTTCACTTTTGGTTTTTGACACATTTAAGTTTTTTTTATCAATGTGGTCATATTTTCTTCCCAGGCCTGTGGGTATGCGCACTGCAACCAGTCCATGCACAATCTTGAAAACATTCGGAGTCTAACATCAGTTCTCCTACTTGTATTTTCCAGGGAACGCCAACCTAACTTATCTAACATAAGGGAGACACTATTGTATGTAGAATAGTCCTTAGTAACACACCGCGTAGCTCTGCGCTGGACCATTTCAACTTTGTGGATGTTCTGCTGAGTGTAAGGACACCAGACAGAACTGGCATATTCAAGCTGGGGTCTAACAAGGTTTTGTATGCAAATTCCCTTACGCTTGAATTTTTAGAAGGGATATTTCTTTTAAGAAAGTTAGTTTTACTAGCCTAAGAGGTAACATGATTGACTTTGTTCCAACTTAGATCAGAGTAGAAAGTAACACCAAGGTACTTTGCGTCATTGACATTTTCTAGGACTTGGAGTGAATATACTGACTTGAATGGTTGTTTTGACTTGGTAATATTTAACACCGTACACTTAGAAGGGTTGAACTTCATGTCCCATTTGCTTTCCCATAGCTGTAACCTGTCAAGGTCTTGTTGTAAGATCCTTTCTTGGGAATTGTAATTGACTGCTATATAAACAGCAGTGTCATCGGCAAATAATTGGACCCTGAAACTAAATTCAGTAGATTTTCCTTATTTAGAATCCAACGAAAAAGGTAACCTTGAACTGGGCAGGGTTTGAAAGACCCTGGTCTGGGTTACTAATAAGTATCAATAATGAATTACTCATCCATACACTAGTATTGAAACATATTGTTATACATGTAAACATTGTTATAGTAAACGTTTTTATTCATTTATGTAATTTCTGATTCAATAATAACAAAATTTCGACAATTTCAATCTGCGTTTTTTTGCAAGAATAAGGGTTGATCGTCACATTGTATTACTACACAGACATATGGATTTGAGTAATATTGTTGTAACTGGCGAGTATTTAAATAAATAGACGGACACGAGAAAAGAATAAAAATATGAGCCGCGTCACGACAAAACCAACGTAATGCGTTTGCGACCAGCATGGATCCAGACCAGCCTGCGCATCCGCGCAGTCTGATCAGGATTTATGCTGTTCGCTTACAAACCCTATTACAAGTAGAGAAACGGATAGCGAACAGCATGGATCCTGATCAGACTGCGCGGATGCTGCGCAGGCTGGTCTGGATCCATGCTGGTCGCAAACCCACTATGTTGGTTTTGTCGTGACGCGGCTCAATTAATTTTTAGACAACCCGAATGTAGCATTTATCAGCTAATCATTCAACAACATATTTTTAAACATTTTTCAGATAACTAGACACTATGTCAACAAGCAACAAAATACGGGGCTATGCTGTTGTTATTGTAAATGAAAAAGAGGTTGATAAGTCCGGCTTTAAAGAACGGAAAGGTGCATCCAATGATTCGGATTTCATTCAAGCATCTTTCTGTAACAAACTTGGTTTTAAATGGTTGAATCAAAGTCAAAGTAGGGATCTGAAAAAGTCACAGTGGATTCATTCCGGAGATCCACCGAAAGAATGCGATTGTTTGACCTGCAAGATTCAGAAAACAGACCATTCAAAGTCCGAGTGTTTCCTACTAGTCATTAGTACACACGGAAGAGAGGAAAAAGGACAACAGATAATCAGATTTAGTGATGGCAAGAAGATTTATCTAGCAGACGTGATTGATACCTTAAGTGATGACAAATGTCCGTCTCTTGTAGGAATACCTAGAATTGTGGTATTACAAGTTTGCAGGACGAACAATGAATTACCGGAAGGTAAGGATGCCAAGGTGATGTACGTGTTGATCAAGATACTATCATATCGAAATATTCGATTGCTATTACAGACAAAATTTGAAACAAAGCTGAAATTATTTAAGTAAAATGTTATTATAGATTCGTTCCAGTTTAAAATCTGATACAACTGCACATTTAGAAGTTCAGTCTGATTGTTTTAAGGACACTTTTGACGGAACTGACACTTGATGTGTATTCATAGATAAGGGTAAATGGTCTTTCACGTACATTAAAAATGAACAATTTTGATGCGATCTTGGTCTATAGTAACCAAACGTCTAATGTACGTTTCTGTGTCTTTTCTTTTACACTTTTACTACATATTAACATGTCACATTTGAGATTAAATATAGGTCAAGCAAGAAGTATAGATTGCATGTAAAACAAATAATCCTTTCTGCACGCACTTTGAAACCTAAAAATGGACACTGCCCTACCAATCCAAAGTGACTGTATTTTCCTGTAGCCTGTAACTATACATTTTTACACTGTGTGTGCTAAAAATAAGGAACGTTTAAGTAAATGATAAAAATGATAAAATCTCATTTCTGTAAACTGTTTATAATGAGTTAATTTGATTGGCGGAATTTTTGCGCCGGTTTTAACACATTTTTGGTTTGATTTCTGAACAAGCACTGAGGACAAATGGACTAAATGTGCGAGATCAATTCGCCTAGTCGGAGAATCGAACCTCTTTATTTCAAATCCGATGAGCTTTCTATTGAGCTTAGTGGATGTAGACAGCAGTAAAAATAAAATGAACCTTAAGACGCAAATCAGTCTCACTAACAAAGGTGATAAATAGATTCAATGCATCTCTATTAGTCATAATTATTATAGCTGCCACTAGATAACGTAATATACCTGAGAAGATTATATATTGTATGTGTAAATAATATTAATATACCTTGAATTCTTCAGGGCAAAGAGATGATCAAGGGGTTGAAGTTACAGCTGGGATAGGAGAACTCGTAAGTATTTTAAAATTTTCATCTTAATATAGTACTTGTACATTTACATCCATTTATATATACGAGGGATGTTTCATAATTAATACAATTTCACTAGAATCTCAAAAGACCCGTGTAGTATTCGCATTAAAACAATCAACATTTCAGATACAAATACATAAAGTGTTAAAGAATACTATTGTATACCGACTGAATTATGGCGGTTCACAAAAATAGGTTTATACATTATAACATGTGCAATTATTACTGATGATGTCCAATCAGCGTGGTGCTGAAATTCTGTCTATTCATCAAAACTGCGAAACTGAGAATCAACGTATGTTTTGTGACATGTATGATATTCTTTTGATATAAAGTTTATATCAAATGAGCTATTATGATGTTTAAAATGATGGGTAATCAGGCGCCTTCCTATTTATTGAATAATTTCATTTTATCGTCAGATGTTCATACTAATAATTTTGTAAGTCTTTTGTTTCTTCTGGATAATGTATTTGGATCGGCCTTGCTGATAATATCAAGTCTGCTACATCTGTAAACCATTTTAAAACCTTATACTTGAGGTATTATCACACATTGATGTATACACCTTTATGTTTTTACATTTATGTATTTTAATAGTTTGAATATGTTAAATTCATATTGTTCCTTGTTGAAGGCCACATGGAAGATTGATTTATTATTATAATTACTATTATTATTATTATTATTATTATTATTATTATTATTATTATTATTATTATTATTATTTTATATAGATGGATTCCTTATTATAACTCTGAAGAACTCCGAGAAATAAGTCGATCCGTAATAGCACATATGTCGTAGAATAAAGCAACTAACTGAAGAAGATGCGTGATTTACATGCTTATCTCTCTAGCATGCGTATCTGTAAATTGGGACTGAAAGCAAATACGATTTGTTAGCCCACATTTATGATCTAATGGAAAGAAAGTGACGTGGGTCAAACTGTATTAGTATAACAACTGATACGACCAACAGTGGCTGTATTATATTACGCTTCGAAACTAAATTATTTATTTAAACCTTTTATTCGTCTTGAAAAGAATTAACAACAACATTACAGCAAGTCCTTCGCATTGTTTCATCGCATTGTTTCAATATTGTTGTATACATGAAAACATACCAATACAAACAGTTATTTTTGTGTGGTTTATAAACAGTTATTTTGTGTGGTTTATGAAACCATGGAACAAGACCGTACTTCTAAGCACGAAAGCTGCGAAACAAACCATTATTTCGATAACTTGTTGATTTAATTCGTTCTTATCACAGGAAATTGACATTCTATAGGCAAAAATTAAAAAAAATAACGGCAAATGTACCCCTCTATATATAAATAATTTATAGTATAGTGGGGTACATTTGCCGTTGTATTTTAATTATTTGCTTATATTTTTCAATAATTGATAGAATGTCAATCTCCTGTGCTCTTATATAACCACTCAAACACATGCTAACGCGTTTAGTTTGTAATATAAATAAAATTTGGCTAATGTCAAAGCACCACTTGCGGGCTGGGTGGTTTGGCAATACGCTCTTTTCAGAACTGCGGGGTCGTACACTGAATATCAAGGTAGTTTTTTTCAACATTCTTTTGTACTTGCATGAACCCTATAGTTGTTCAAACTTGCCTCTGCTATATTTTAAAATTTATTTAACATTGTAGCGTTCACAGTTGAATAGTAAAGTCGCCTTTGCTAATTCTAGAGTGGTGAGCTTGTCGAAAAGACGTCAGTTTGGTAGATTAAATAATTTTTCGTTATAAGTTATCTCACATTGTCCTCTTTAACATAAGTGTATTTTAACTTAAATTTGTAGGGCATCAATGGTGACAATGGCGAACCAGAACAGGGCCAAGGCGATAACCAGGCTGGGAATGACGATAACCAGGCTGGGAATGACGACTCTTCTGAAGACGAGTCTGATGCTGATCCTGAGGATGACATATTTTATTCAACATGCGCCATTCCTAATAATTTTCTGATAGTGTACCCAACAACAGCTGGGAAGAGATCTAAACGAAATATCAAAAAAGGTTCTTGGCTGATAGACGATTTAAATAAAGTTATTTGCAAGCATGACTTCAAAACTGAACCAACTATGAACTTCCTAAAAGTTCTGACCAAAACTGCTGGTCAAGTAGCTAAGCGAACAACAAAAAAGGATAAGTTTATGAATTCCCCTTGTATTGTACACAAGCTGCTATGTCCACTATTGTTTGCAGCACCAGAAAGCAATGAAATGGCAGGGCCCTCCAGCTCCGATATACCGGCTCTTTAAAACAAAATATATTTTCATATTTATATATATATATATACATGTATAATCATGTATGGTATTTATCAGGAACGAGGAATAACATTAACTTTGAATAATGCAATATAAACACATGTATATTTGTAGCTAATGTCACATTTACAATATTCACATTTACAACTGTTTATATTCAATATTTTTATATATGTTTTACAGTATGTATTTTCATACTTATTGTTTATTTGTTTATATTTGTAACGTCTGTTAAAGTATTTTTTGTAGAAAATACGTAGTCAGAGAATATTTTTAATCTCCATTTGTCATTGTTGTGCAATATGATATACTCTCTAGTCACGTGAGTTTAACTCAGTGTAGAACATGTAAACATATACTCAAGTACTTAGAATAAAACTTATATATATTTAACAGTGTTATGGTTATAACTGACCATCGGTCATTCAGACAATAGTACAGTTTTCCCCGGTTGATTGCATGCAAATGATTTACAAAAACTTCAGATGCGCATGTCTTATTCTAGCGTAACAAACTTATGAAATAGAAAGATCTGTAATTATGCCAGGGACTTTGGATTTTTTTCATGTGAGAAAGCTATCCAGCTAGCTTACGGAACGTCGGTGGTTCCTGAAATAATGCGCTGAGGGGCACCTGAGGTCTTCTTCTACCGGTAAAGCTGGAAAGTCGCCATATAATATTTACTGTGTTCGTACAACGTGAAACCGAACCCCCCCCCCCCCCCCCAAAAAAAAAACACAAAAAAACAATCAGTTATCCCTAGTGAGACAAATGCGCTCGTGTTTTCGGGCATTTATCACAGGTGCTTGTGCGACATACTTTATAAAGGAAAGTTATAAAATATGTGTCACTATATAGTTTGTGAGGTGAGACATTAGTAAGTAATTTTGCATGTTGAGAAAGTATATGTATTCATTATCGAGGTATATAACCACAAGGAAAATTTAAATGAAAATTCACCAATAGATCTACTACTTTTTTATATTTCTATTTAAAAATAACTATTAATAAAATCGGAATTTTGCCAACCGGCGCACGTACAAACTTTGACTTTCAATCCAAGCATTATTTTCCGCTTATGTGAGTAGTGCATTCAAAATTTTGACATGAACATAAACTTGTTTTTTTCAGCACGCTAAACAAAAAGTAAACTAAAATGATGTTATTTGGCGTTCACGAAAAATGGAATATCACAAAATTATGCGTTTTTCTTGAAATGTCAACAGATGAGACAAAATGATAAAAAAGTGAAGGTGAAGGACGGTGTGAATATTTATGTACCGTTTGCAAAGTTGAATGAAGTTATGCAGGCGATTTCCGAACGGGAGGACTATCAGTAATTCATAGCGAAATTGTGACCCTAGAAAGAGACAGACGGACAAAATGTGTACAGTATCTTACAGAGTAGGGATCTGTCAAAGTTCTGCGAGTAGAATGTTGACATACATTCTTTGAATGCGAACGGATCCGGCACGCTGGATGCCCCAGCCATTAATCAAAAACTAAATGAATGCCATTATAGCTTTTCTGTCGTGAATCATGTTGTCGAAATGACGTGACTTGCGCAGCTTCCCCTATACTGCATAGTTTCAAATGTCTCTTATTTGTTAACATATATCATAAAATGTATACAATTTCGCATGTACAGCGGAAATACATGTGTATATAATGATTATGTATATATAAATTATGCCAAACTATCACGTTGTTGGACCTTTACTTCAGAATATTCACAAAGACTTGTGCATTATAAATATAAAGGGTAAGGGATATTTTTCATTTCTGTTATTTAACGGTATCATTTAGAGTAAGGCAGGTAATAAGATTGACCACGTTTCCACTTTAACCATGCATCTTGCATTAAAAAGTTTTTTGCCCATCATTACGCGAAAATTTTCAAAGCTGCCGCTGCGCTTATTTTCGAAGTTGTTACTGTAACAGTTTGTTTTTACCCACGGATTTGCTAGAATATTCTTTATCGCATATGCTATTAGTAAGCATTATTCCACCTTCTCAAAGGAACGTGAATGATTTAAAATGGATGCTTTATACGGTATTTTCAAATCAAGGTTGGTACTGATACTTTTAAATACGTCTGTGTACCGCCTCCGTGGTCGAGGGGTTAGAGTCGTTGACTTCTAATCCAGTTACCTCTCTGGCGTGGGTTCGATCCCCGGGAGATGATTTGGTAGTTTAGCACGAGGAAGGTAGTCAAGTACTGGTGTAACTCTACAGGAACGATGGTTAGGAAACTACCCGCCTATATGACTGAAATACTGTTTGAAAAAGGCGTAAAATCAAACAAACAAACAAACAAATAAAATACGTCTGCCTGCGGACATATGATATCTTCACTATGTAGGCTAGAGCTTTTATACATGGAAAAAAGATGCTTTTGGACGACAACTTTTCATTACATGCTTTTCCTTTGGTTCTTAATAGATCTTACCATAAACGAGAAATATTGAAAATTAGGAAATTTCAATATGACGATGGCAATAACATTGACCTTAAAAGTAATTTGTTTAGAAATTCATTAAAATTCATCTAAATATACATATTTTTGACAGGCGCATCAGTACTATTTTTATGCCCTCACAAAGTGAGTATTCACTTGGGTATTTTTCCTGATAAACTTAAGGAAGCTCGTGTCTTACCTATTTTAAATCAGGAATTAGAGACTTTTCTGAAAATTATCGCCCAATTTCAATTCTACCCTCCATCTCAAAAATATTTGAACGACATATTGCGTCACATCTTCAGGCATTTTTAAAAAAAAAAAAAAAAAAAAATTATACATGACAGACAATCAGGGTTTCGAAAAAAACATTCTTGTAATACAGCATTACTTAGATTAATTGATGCCTGGATCAAAGATATTGATAATGGTAAAATGATAGGTGCTATTTTCCTTGATTTAAGAAAAGCGTTTGATCTTGTCGATCATGAAATTTTAATACACAAATTGAAATTATATAATTTTTCAAAAAAAGCTGTATTTTTTTTTCGTTCCTATTTATCAAACAGAAAACAGACAGTTCAAGTAGGTAATTTGACATTTTACTGGTAAAATCAGGAGTTCCCCAAGGATCCATTCTTGGGCCCTTACTATTTTGATTTATATAACAACAACAACAACAATCACTTTTATTAGAAGCCACGTCACAATAGTAACAATATGACTGATTAACATAAAATAAAGAGTGGGTAACATGATACATAATACAAATTCTACTTTAAACTTTTTTCATCACATGGGGACAGTAATTATATTGTCAAAACTGCTGAAATGTTGTTTATGTTTCCAAATATACATTTATGATTAACTGATAAATAGTTAGTACATGTACATACATGTATGTAATACAATATATATGTTTACTTCTAGAAAAGGTGTAACAAAAGAGTAGTAGAGCATTATGATACTAAAAAAAATATAATAATTAACACATTTTGTTATTATTTCTTCTATAAATTGTATAGTTATTTATCAAATTATCATACATACTAATGAAAACTAATGCAAAGTAATATCAGGTGGCGTGAGAAAAATACTAATACGTCACTACAGGTGCACGCTTTTCACGTACATAGACAATACTACGATATTGCAAATATTTACAACCGCTAAGAAAGGCTATAAATATTAAATCGTTCGTTACTAAGATAGTCAGGGAGCAATATATGAAAATGATGAAGAACTTGAATTCATTTGGATTTAACTTAGAAAATCGTTAGGCCTGTCTTGTTCTAGCTATTAGTCTTAAAGTGTTCAATAATAGAACGTGCTAAAAATACAATATTTTTAAGAAGATCAAAATTTTCTGTTGATAATAATTCCTTAAATTTCAACACGTTTGGTCTACTGAAAAAGTAAGTTGGGATGTATCGCTTTCTTTGAAGACAGAAAAAAGGACACACTAACATATAGTGAAATTCATCACCGACTTCATTTAACATACAAAGATTGCATTTACGCGCTTCATATGGAAGATGTGAGTTGCGCCACCTTCCTATTTCAACAGGTAATTTATGATTTCCTGTTCTAAAATGGAAAAGAGTGAACCTTAGATTATTTGGTAGTATATTTAGATATGCTTCAAATGATATATCATTTTTAAATAGCCTATAGTTTATTCCTTTAGATGAGTTTTCAAGCTGACTGTGCCATTTTTGTACGAATTGATCAATTAATACCATTTTTACATGCTTATACGTATTGGTTAATAAGAGCGAGTTTTGATATGTCCAAATATATGTATGGCCCGTTTGGTTTAATATGTTTTTATGTGGTTTAACCACTTGTATTTAACAGTAGAGTTCAGCATATGATTATAACAGATGTGAGATATTTTCGTTGTATTACTTGATAATAGTTTACTCCAAAAATGAATCATTCTCGATTTGATTACAATTTCAAGTGGATATCGTCCAAGTTCACCATATAACATGTAAAGTGGGGTGCTCTTTTTACTTTTAGTAATTTTTCTAAGGAAATCGGTATGTATTCTTTCAATCATGTCTAGATTTTCGTGACCCCAGACCTCGCAATTATATGTCAATATTGGAAGAATCGTTTGATCGAATAGTTTTAATTGAATATCAAGTGGCAAATCCAAATTGAAGATTCGCGTATACAGAAGGTGCATTGCTTTATTTGCCTGACTTGCAATCAGTTTACGGGCATTTAGAAAACTACCCGATGAAGAAAAGAGAATACCTAAATACTTATAATCTTTAACTATTTCAATATTTAAACCTCCTAAATAAAATTTAAAGTTTTCTGGTTTATTAGTTCCAAACACAATAATCTTAGTTTTAGAAATATTCACGGTCATTTTCCATTCTAAACAGTACAGATTAAAATCATTAAGTAAATTTTGAAAAACAGATTCGTTTTCACTTATAATGACAGTGTCGTCGGCATATAATAATACAAACAATTTTAAATATGTAAGGCCATTGTCGTCAATGTTTTCAATATCAATGCCTTGATTATTGCGAGACAAATGTTCTTCTAGGTCATTAAGGTATATAGAAAATAAAATTGGGGACAAATTTTCCCCTTGACGGACCCCACAGTAACTCTTGAAAAATGGAGAAATACTATTGTTAATAGATACACAAGATTTAATGTCCTGGTACATATTATATATAATTTGTAATAGTTTGCCATTAATACCCGTTTTAAGCAATTTTCCCCAGAGGCCTATACGCCATATTTTATCAAAAGCGGCTGAAAAATCAATAAATGAACAAAACAGTTTTTTCTTTTTTGCTTTAAGTTTATCAATGAGAAATTTTAAGGTGAACACATGATCGGTTGTTGAATACTTTTGCCTAAATCCGGCTTGGTTCTCGTTTAAAATGTTATTGCTGGTTAAATACTTATT